ATCTTGCATCTAAGAGCCCGGAGGCAGACACCTAAATCATTGTTTCTGGGTGTAACTGTTTGATAAGAAAAGATCATATAGTGCTAGTCTTTAATCAAGCGAAATATGCCAAAGCTTGTAGTGACTGAATTAGGTGAGTTTCCTGGGCATTCTGGGGAAAAGGTTTGGAGATGCTGCACTGCAAGATATACTCATTTATTCAGAAGTTGTTGCTCTAGGATCTATCAATGGAGTGATGAGTGGTCATCACTATAACCACAGCATGAGGACACACAAACATCTGTATGAGAGTCTGCAGCTCATCAGATTTTTCAGTTTCTTAGACTCTTTGCCACCAGAAGACTGAAATGAGTGTTTGACTGTCATAAGTGAGATCATATGTGCATTCCAGAACAGGATAATGGATATTTTGTATGAAAATTAAAAAATTGTCAAAATGTGTTTAAAATGTAGCTTTTGTTGTGGTTTTCGGTTTTTCTCTTAATGAATCAAACTCAGTCTGGAGGTTATGAATATCAGAAGAGTATACTTTATTGTCGACAACAAAGGAGATTTGTGACCCCCAGTAGCATCTCTGCCTGAAAATTCTGTCTCACTGATGTTCTGGCCTGCTTATATACTCTTTTGCAGCTGTTTTTCACATTGTTCTACATTTGTCACACAAGATCCCACCTAGTTTTAACCCCTGACCCAAACCTGGTAACCATGTATCTTATCCATCAATACCTGACTTTTTCCACATGTGATGCTCTATTCTCATCCATTTCTTGTGACACCTTAGTTGTTTACTCAGGCCATCTCCCCTTTCTAACTTTACATAGTACCTTAATTCTTCTAATACTATGTAAGTCAACAAGCAGATTATACACATACAATTTGAATAGATAGATTAACTTCACACTTTAAAGAGTATAAAATCCACTTCACTTTCAGGTTCTGATGATAGTGATAAGGAGAGTAGTGATGAGTAAAAATGATCTGTGTCACATGTTAGTTCAGTTTGAGCTGTAATAAAGTTTCTGTAAAATTTGTACATTTTTGGCGTTATTGAAAAATTTGTGCAGCAGACCAGCATTTCATGTCATTTCAGCCAACTTGGACCAAAATTGATTTTATTTTTAACGTTGAGTGATACCTTAGTGCTACTGAACATTTTTGAAAAATAAAACCTAACAAACATGTTTAAGTTCAAATATCTTCTTCAGTGTTATTAAGAGCCAATATGTGAAGTTGAGGTGGGTTGTAAAAAATGCTTAATTTCATGGTCTTTAATTAAAATTGAGTAGATTAATGCACCAGTACTTGTCTCATATATGTAGCTACATGTACAAAAGTGAATTTGACACATTATTGTGTGTTGCCAAAATGCATATTAATAAAGTTACAGGCCAAACTAGCAACATAAGATTTTAGTTTTTTGTAAATTCCTAATTATACACATTTATGCATCTTGACAAAAAACTGCAGTATTTTTTTATGGAGAACTTTTAACATAACATCCATAAGGGTGCTGTCTATTCAGAAATGCATAAAAAAGTAGTGCCCAGATGTGGGAACAAAAACCATTTTCTAGCTACTTTCTTACTACCTTATGGCCTATAGTGCGAGATCCCACTGGATTTTATCATGGATGTTTTTCATTTATGACACTTTCAGGCAATATAATAATAATAATAATAAATGAATAAACATAAGGCGGAGTAATTCTAGGATTTTTATTTTAGAGGGGATCAAATCTAGTAAGGGTATAATAATAATAATAATAATAATAATAATAATACATGAGGTGGCATGGTGGCTTGCTGGGTAGCACTGTCACCTCACAGAAGGTCGCTGGTTCAAGTCATGGCTGGGCCAGATGGCATTTCTGTGTGGAGTTTTCCCCATGTTCCTGTGGGTTTCCTCTGGGTGCTTTGGTTTAACCCACAGTCCAAACACATGCGCTGTAGGTGAATTGGGTAACCAAAATTGTCCGTAGTGTAAAGGTGTGTGTTAATGAAAGTGTATGGGTGTTTTCCAGTACTGGGTTGCGGCTGGAAGGGCACTCGCTGCATAAAACATATGCTGGAACAGTTGGCAGTTCATTCTGCTGTGGAGAATCCTGATAAATAAGGGACTGAGCTAAAGGAAAATTCAATTAAATTCAATTCATCTTGATTTCCATAGCACGTTTAATGTAGATTGTGTCAAAATAAATGAATGAATAATAAATGAATAAACATAAGAGGAGATTCTACTAATATTTAGCGGGGCTCAACCCAAATAAGGGTAATAATAATAACAATATTAATAATAACAACATCAACAATAACAATAATAATAATATAAAAGTAATATATAACTAATAGGTTAGGTTGTAAATAAATTAATTGCATTATGGTAACATTGAGTATTGATTACTGAATAAGCAAATACAAGACCTGTTTACTGTGCCATCTAAATTTGACTATTTGCGTTTCTATGCTCAACATTTTTGTTTCCACGTATAAGAAAAAGGAGAAAAAAAGTGTGCACTTCTCTAATTCAAATTAAAATAAATGAAATCTCTTACTTTAAGGCATTAAAATATTTCACAACTGGGTCATTAAAAACAATATTTAATACAAAGCTTGTGATGTTCATGTCTATGTTGTCGAATAATTTCTCAACATGACAGAATGCTACTGCCACACTGTAGATTTGAATTCAGAGATATATTATCATTTAAAACATGGTAGTTTCATAAAGTATGTGTTCATAGTTTAGCAACATGTGTTCATCATGTTTTTAGAAAAAATAAAATCACCAACACAACTCCAGACACAAAACTCAACACTTTTCAACAGACAACTGAGCAGACAAACATAACAAACAGAAATAAACAGTTTTTTTCCAACAGTTTTATTTTTTCTTCAGCAATTCAAATCTGTAAATAATAAAAGAGCACCCTTTTTTTCTCATTCACCAAAGGTTCCTCAGCTCTGCTCTGGAGATCGTCTTTTGTGTCAGTTTTCTTTACTCTCCTCCTCCTCCTCTTCTTCTTCTTCATCTGCTCCTCCATTTTCGTACTCTCCTTTATCTCATCACTGTCACTTTTCTTTTTCCTCCTCCTCCTTCTCTTCTTCTTCTTCACTTCCTCCTCCTCCTTCTCAGCTTCCTTTGTCACACCAGAGTCCATTTTGTTTTCCCCCTCTGCCTCCTTCATCTCCACCTCCTCCTTTATATCTTGTGTACCAATTTTCCTTGGCCTTCTTCTCCTCCTCCTCTTCTTCTTCACTTCCTCCTCCTCCTTCTCAGCTTCCTTTCTCACCTCATTGTCCGTTTTCTCTTCCTCCTCTGCCTCTTTTATCCTCTCCTCCTCCGTCACTTTCATCTCCACCTCCTCCTTTATAGTGTCCTCTTGTGTACAACTTATCCTTGGCCTCCTCCTTCTCCTCCTCTTTTTCTTCACCTCCTCTTCCTTCTTTTCACCCTCATTTATTTCATCAACGTCCTTTTTGTTTTCCTCCTCCACCTTCACGTTCTCTTCCTCCACCTTTACGTTCTTGTCCTCCTCCACCTTCAAGTTTTCTTCTTCCTCCACCACCTCCATCTCATTTTCCTCCTCCACCATCACGTTCTCTTCCTCCACCACCTCCATCTCATTTTCCTCCTCCACCATCACGTTCTCTTCCTCCACCACCTCCATCTCATTTTCCTCCTCCACCATCAAGTTCTCTTCCTCCACCACCTCCATCTCATTTTCCTCCTCCACCATCACGTTCTCTTTCTCCACCACCATCATCTCCTTTTCCACCTCCACCTTCATCTTCTCTTTCCTTTTCTCCATAATGTCATTTTTCATGGTCACCTCTTCCTCCATCCTCCTCCTCCTCATTAATTCCTCAACAGTGATGTCATTTTCACAATCTGTTAAAGGAGAAACACATTGAACAGTCATTTTCAAAGAGACCTTAAACTCCAGGTAAAATAAAGCTGAAGTTTATTTATATCATTATATCTACGCAGTAATAATCGTTTACCTTCTGAAGATCTCAGACACCACATCTTGCACAATGACTGGAAAAAACGTGCAAGTCTGTTCTTTTTGTTTTTCTTCATGTTCACCTCATCTGTTAAAAGAGAAATGATTGCACAGTCATTTCAGAAGAAATTAAAAATATATATTTGTTATTTAACTCTTCTGTAAAGTTTTGCAATAGACCATTTTGAGAAATGTAAACAATAACAATGGTCCTAATCTATTTCCTGATTTATATTTTTAATTTCTCTAACTTCCGGGAATCAAAAATGTCCACATATTAATTAATAATGTTAAAATTAACGTGAAGATATGATTGAATTGCCTGTTGTTACAGATATGAATTAGTATGATAACAAACAGGAAATGTTCATCGGCCAATGACATGACCACATTGAAATGGCCTACTTTAACCATGTATTTTTGCATGGCATTGTATGATTATTTCAGGCCTGTAACCAGGAGGGGCCAGAAATAATAAAGCATTTTTATTTTCACTATCCATTTTCACTATTTATGATGTATGGTCCAGAATTTACCCTATACCTAAGCTCAGTTGTCCGATTTTGACTGCTGTGCCATCATATAGTGAATATAAATAGTGAAAATAGAAAGGTTTTAAGACTGATGTGACTTCAGCTAGCAACTTTCCCCAATGCTAACAAATGTTTTTCATGAGTCCAACATACAGTTGTGCAGAAAAAAACAATCTGAAGTAAGTGAAGTCATCTTTCGCTACTGTATTGTTTTTAAGCCAACATTTCACAAATAACTTTGATTTTAAATCTTGGACCTTACTCTTGAAACAAAAAAGGACCAACAAAAAGGTTTGAAACATCAAAAGTGGACCATATTATAATTAATTTGAATACAAATTTGGCTATTGTTGTTTTGCATGAATTTTCACATGTATTTTTTACAAGAGAGGCTAAAATGTAATTAATTGTTGAGCTTTACATTAATACATTGTAATACCCAATTAAGGCAACTGAAACCATTTGAGTAAAAAACAAATTTATATGAGTACTGTGAACTTATTCCATTGAAGTTGAAGTGTTGAGGTATTTAATTGACTCATTATCTTCAACACTGAGATCAAAACTCTTCAAATGAGTAGAATTAACTTTCAGTAGATTTTGAGTTAACTACACTTACTTCATTTGATAAAGTTGACTGTTGGGTTTTACAGTGTAGTATTAGTAATGGTAGTATTGTTGTTGTTGTTGTTGTTATTATTATTAGGTTTTAATTATTTTTTATTCAAACATCCAAATTCTGACTGAGGTAAGTTGAACGTATTGGCCAGTTTGTTGTTTGCTAAAAAATGACAATAAGCAACAGTTTTTAAAACTTTTACATATTACTATTTTCCCCCAAAAGATTTATAATGTAATAAATTTGTATTTTTAAAATAAGTAAATAAACATCTTTATTATACATTTTTAGGAAATATTTTTTTTATACCAAAAAGTGTAGTTATTATGACCATCCGGCAAGCTAATCCAGCTAAAACTGTGCTTAAAAAGTCACTAAAACCCAGTATTTGAACTGAAAAAAAGGTGTATAACTGCCTTGAGAAAAAAGAACCACCCCTTATTCCAGGAAGCTACATGGGAATGTATGTATTAGAATTGATTATAATATTTTTTATACTTTTCATGGTATTTAAAACTGGTTAGGCCTACACAAATGGTCAATGCACCAAAACATGTTCAGAGCCCTTTTATAACTTAAAGTAAATACTTTATTTTAATAAGGGATTTGAGACTAAAGCTGTAAAATTCATGGAGACTATTCACAGTTTCAGAACATATTTATCCTATTTGTTACCTGTGAAGCTGTAATTTATGGAATAACCATAAATTAATATTTATATTATAATATATTAAGATTTTAGGCTACTTCTTATACATTATATTATTTCAATCTACTAGAATGTCAATAAAAGTCTCTTTATTAAACTGCAGAGTTGAGTTTTTAACATCAAAAGTCGATACAGACGAAATCAATGTCACATAATGCAATTCACAACACTTAATGACAACGGAAACGGTAAATTGACACATTTTTTTACAGGTTACTTGGAAAAACTTGATGGAAAGGGGGCTTATTAACCTCTAATCGGGAAAATGCCTGAACATTCATTCGTATCACAATAACTTGCCATTGGTGCCACTTGAAGAGACTGATTTTGGAAAAGAGGACTTCTTCATTTTCACTCGTGCTCCGTCTTCGACGCTCGTGTTTTGAGGTTCGAGCTGGTATTGGTCAACCATTGTAACAGGATTTTCGGCTTTCGCCAGACAGGGCATTTTATCGACAGTTGTTGAATCAAATCGTCGTTCAGCTGAGAATATTCGCAACAAACTACACTAACACCACTTCAACAAACCAACAAAAATACTTTTCAGTTAGAGCACATCCTACGCGTCATCGGTCACCTCACGGCATGTTTACTTTTAAAGACAAATGTATGAAGATGAATGCAAATGACATAAAACATATACAATTCAAATTAATAATCCATTTAAAACAGCTTTTTCCCTTTAGATTATTTATACAGCGAGGATATAAGCTGTTTTAAATGGATAATTTATTTAAGATATAACTGTAAACAAAGAAGCACAACAAATGAAACAAACGCACCTATACACAACGGGAATGTATTGACTTAAATAACATATATTCATTTGAGGTATTCCGCTTACTTAATATGATCCACCCAGCAAGACATATGCCATTACCACAGGAAAAAAATAAGTGTCATAATAGTAAATACTTTAAACCATTATAGTAAGTGTATTACACTTTATTTACAACAGGTTGTTGATAAATGCATGTTAACAAGCCTATAAAATAGTTAAAGTACTATAAATTACTAAATTATTTTTATATGGGTTTGTAAAGTCATATTGTTTACATGACTTATTTGAAATACTGCAATATGGAATGTAAACTTTCATTGAAAATATTGCAATTATTGTCACCTGACATCATGATTTAGCGATTGTGTTAAATGCACTTTAATCTAGTTTTGAACACCCCTGCTGAAAAAAAACAGCTAAAACCAGCCTAAGCTGGTTGGCTGGTCTTAGCTGGTTTTAGCTGGAAGTAGCTGGTTTTAGCTGGTCTCCCAGCCTGGCCAGGCTGGTTTTAGCTGGTCTCCCAGCCTGGCCAGGCTGGTCAAGCTGGTCTCTCAGTTTGACCAGGCTGGTTTTAGCTGGTCTCCCAGCCTGGTCAAGCTGGTTTTAGCTGGTCTCCCAGCCTGGCCAGGCGGGTCAAGCTGGTCTCCCAGTCTGACCAGGCTGGTTTTAGCTGGTTTCCCAGCCTGGTCAAGCTGGTTTTAGCTGGTCTCCCAGCCTGGTTAAGCTGGTTTAAGCTGGTCTACCCGCCTGGTCAAGGTGGTTTCTCTGTCTAACCAGGCTGGTTTAAGCTGGTTTTAGTTGGTCTGCCAGCCTGGTCAAGCTGGTTTTAGCTGGTCTAACTTGGCCAGGATGGCTTTAGCTGTTTCACAACCTGTTTTTTGTTGTTGTTGTTGTTGTTGTTGTTGTTGTTGTTGTTTTTAAAGCTAGTTGGTCTACTGGTCCAGATGGTTTTCATTTTACACAATTACAAATGAATTGTTATTGTAACAGATGAAATTGTTGCACTGACAAATTCTAATTATTCTAGTTAGTTAATAATATCTGAGAAGAGTCTAAAAGAAAAATTATTAAAGTTTTTTTGCAAATAAATTATAGCAGAATTTACAAAGTACTCTTATTTCTTTTATTATGGCTCTTTTCAATACCGGTTGGTAAGGTTTTTTTCATTTTAGCACTGTTGAGTTCGATCTTAAATGCATCTGAGTGGCCATAGAGTTCATTGCTCAATAAAGCGCAAACACAGATACTTAAGACACACTTGAATGTTTGAAAGCTACGTCTATCAGCTGATCTGATTTCAAATGCTCTAGTGTCTGTGTATCTGTGTTTGCTCTTGAAGTCAAGTTTAAAGTCTTTATTGTCATTCCGATACATGTGTGGACATACAGAGAAACGAAATGTTGTGTTTTGCAGGACAACGGTCCTCATAAATGAATCATAAATGCAAACACAAAAACTATGCATAACTAACATGTACTATAAGATACTTAACTATACACATATAACAGCCTATACAAGTGAATCTGGCCTATAAGCAATGTTTAAAGAGGTAGTTCCCCCAAAAATGAAAATATACTCACTATTTACTCACCCTCAATTGGTTCAACGGCTTTGAGGTTTTTCCTTCTGTAGGAAAAAATATTGAAGTCAATGGTTACAGGTTTCTAGCTTACTTCAAAATATCTTCTTTTTGTGTTTGAGTAGGTAAGGTAGTAAATGATCACAGAATTAAAATTTGTCCCTTTAAAACAAGCACAACAGTGTTCAAATGTTATCTGGAAATGGAAGTTTTAAAAATTTCAGTATTGATTGGTGCTGAAGTGGATACTTTTGACAACCCAGACCTCTCTATATACAGCCCTATGATTTCCGTGATGCGGAAACTGCAGAATCTACATCTAAAATCTGAATTTGCTGTATAATTGTCGCGGAATTTGGTAATTGTTTGAATGAATAAGTCAAAAGTAATTCTGTACACGTAATCAAATCACAGTATATCAATATTTATAAATAGTATCAAACCACTAGATACTATTTAAGTTTGAGATCTACATTTTCTGCTTCTCTGTGCAAATGAATGGCACGTTTTGGTTTATGACACGGATACTGAAGTGTGTGCATGATGCTCGTGGTGTGGTCAATCTGAACACATTAGAAAATTTAATATTGTTAAAATTGAGTCTAGAAAAAATTAAGGGATGGAAACTACAAAATAAATTCCAGTCTTAAGCTGAGGCTTTTATTTCAGTGTGTTAAAGTACTTTCAACTGAAACAGAATATTGAGCTGGAGGCGGGGCTTGCTTTTTGTTTATCATCATAGGGGTGTGGTTAGGAATATTGTGGTTGTCAAACTGAATTCAAAATACAAGTGCAGAAGCAAATGCTCTGACTTGCATTGAAGATTAGCAAAATGCCCAATTCACACGGGGCATCAACGCTTCACATTCACTTCAAACGGGTGACGTCAAACGTTGCTGAACTGAATTGTGGATCCGTGTTGTTTGCTGCAGAAGTTGAGACTTTCTAAACTTATTAATCACCAATAAAAGCGTCTGCCAATCAAATTGCTTCATACAATTTCCCCAGCTCAGACAGTTGATTGCCGGCTAGTTTTATTGGCTGACGCTGCTATGATGATCGTGTCAGCCCCAACTTCAGACACGCCCTCTGTCAAGCATTGATGCTAAAGTCTCGTGTGAATCAGGCGAAACAGTGAATTAACCTGCACAGATTAATTGTTCTCCTAAAGATTAACAATGTGCGTTTTTAATTTTTATAACGATTTTAAAAGTAATTTTAAAGAAAAGTAAAGCAAACTTTATAGAGCCTTTTTTGTCTACAGTTTTAGTTTGATATAACAAGTAGCGACAGATCTTTAGTTTACTGTTGGAGTAAATACATTGAAGTAAAATATAAGGTGGCATTTTGTTTCTGTTAATCCATTGTTGATTGTTTTATCGGAGGCACATGTGAATGTGAGCTTCAGTTTGATTTTGGTAAAAAGAGGTGGGGTTTGTGTAAATCAAATGATAGGAGGAGTCTTGATTGGAGAAAAGAGTTTAAAAAAACTCATTCTCAATGAATGAATATCTCAATGAATCAATATTATGCATTTAGAAAATCAATCCAGTTAATCATCATTCCACATCAAATTCATTATATTGTACAATTTCTGTTTTTGTCTAGGGCTGCACAATATATCATTTCAGCATCAATATCGCAATGTGAGCATTTGCAATAGACACATCGCAGGATCTGAAATGTGGAGTCCAGTTTATACCTGAACAGGAGCCACAGTTGGAAATAAACATGATTTATTGTAACTCTACAAATTTACATTTACAGTTACATTTGCATATTTTTTAAGGTCTGTGAGTGTGAAAGCATTCAAGTATAACAATTCATAATGTTTGTAACTTGTAGAAAGATTAATTAACTGTATAGAGGTTTATTTTACATTTGATCATTTAATTCATGTGCCTGAATACCTCCTAGACTGTTTACTTTTATTTTTTACTACTGTTTTTAGCAATGCTTATGAATGGTTTATTATATTTTACGCAGATGTACTGGCCTTCTTCTCTTTTCTATTTCTATTCTATTCTTTCTAAATAGAGCCATTCAAGTCATTCATAGAGCCATTGAAATTATGCTCAATATTGCAATGTGTATCGCAGAAAAATAAAATATCGATATGTCTATTTTTTTCCAATATCGTGCAGCCCTATTTTCATCTGTGTGAATACTGGGTTTTTTGCTGTTTGATTTCCTAAATTAAATTGTGAATCTCTTGAAGGTTGAGTGGAAACCCCGCCAGATCGACAATTCTGCTCACAAGGGGAAATGGGTGCACCCTGAGATTGATAACCCAGAATACACTGCTGACAGCGAGATCTATAAATACGACAGCATCGGAGTGATCGGACTTGTGGCAGGTAAATTAGCAGTTTTCTTCCTTTACATCCCAAACATGACTACGTTTTTCTGATATTTAATAACTCATTATGGACTCTTTTGTTTTAATTCCATTAGGTGAAGTCTGGCACAATTTTCGACAACTTCCTAATTACCAACGACCCCAAGTTGGCAGAAGAGGTCGGCACTGAGACTTGGGGAGCCACAAAAGTACACATTTTTCCTATAATTGTTATTATTATTATTGTTGTTGTTGTTATTATTATTATTATTATTATTATTAGCCCCAATAAATATTTGTCCGTTTAATTGTAGTAATTCATCTATTGTTGTTTAAGGATGCTGAAAAGAAAATGAAGGAAAGCCAAGAAGAGGAAAATAGAAAGAAACATGATGAAGAGGAAAAGTCAAGAAAGGAGGAGGCAAAGAAGGAAGAAAAAGGAGAGGAAAAAGAAGAAGAAGATGAAGAGGAAGAACAAGACGAGGACGAGAAAGAGGAAACTGACTCTAAACTTAAATACGAGTTATTTCAACAGAAACTAATGAAGAACGCCTCATGACTGATGGGGTACAGGAAAGAGAACTGGTGTGATGGATTCTTCTGCTGTTTTTTGTTCTTTCTCACAACTACAAACCTATTTATAGATTGACTTTGTCATAATTTTCATTCTTATTTTGTCAGGTCTCTAAGAGTTTCAGTCAGGGAGAGTAAAAGGGAGCTAATGTGACACAACAGACCCACGCCTGTACGTAATATCGTAGGAATTTAGCGCTCTTGTTTACAAATGATTTCAGATATCCTGTTTGCTAAGCAATTCTGTGTGACACAAAACTTGAATCATAACCATCATCAGCTGGTAGCTACAATTCTCAGATTACCTCAAACACTACATTTACTTTTTGTTAATATTGTTGAGCAGTTTTGAGGTACTTTTGCCACTATTTTGTCTCCATTTCACAGCTGTTACAGAATATAGGAAAGTGGTTTAGATCTCCTCTGCAGCATTTTGGCTTGACGCAGTTTTGTTTGTGTGTGTTTGTCTTCGAAAAAGCGAGAGAGAGAGTTTTCATTCATTCATAACCTCTTACTCGCTGTCAGTCTATTTGTAATCAGGTTTAAACAAATCTTTGTCATGGTTTCCTGAAAACAGCTCTGGTCAACAAAAATCTAAAAGTTCACCTACTTGCTTTGCTGTAAGCATTAAACTGAATAATTTCCTCATCCTACTGATCTGAATGTTTGGTTAAAGTCAATCAACATCAACAGTTTTTCTCTGAGTCTCTTCAAATCTCGTTTGTTTGTCCTTTAATGAGTTTAAAGATATATTTTGTACTTTTTGTCTTCTGAAGGATGTTCCTTGACACAGAAAGAAAAGCTATGGTATGACAGTTGTTGTCCCAATAATAAAACTACAAAAAAGAGTAAGATACCCAACCTAAGTGTCCTGAATACATATTTATTTGTAAAAAAATTATTAACCAGTTAAGCTATGGCCAAACTAAACATTCATTCATTCATTCATTTTCTTTTAGTCCCTTTATTCATGAGGGGTTTTTGACCCCCCCCCCCCCCCCCCCTTGTTTTGTTGCCATGTCCATGTTTAATGACAATAAAGTTGAATTCAATCTAATCCAAATAAATAAATACAGTTCAAGTCAGAATCTTTAGCCCAACCCCCCACCCAATACTTTTTTCCCCCAATTTCTGTTTAACGGAGAGATTTATTCAACACATTTCTAAACATGATAGTTTTAATAATTCATCTCTTAATGACTGATTTATTTGATCTTTGCCATGATGACAGTACATGATAGTTTACTAGATATTTTTCAAGACACTTCTATGCAGTTTAAAGTGACATTTAAAGGCTTAAAAAGGTTCCTTAGATTAACTGGGCAAATTAGGGTAATTATTCTTGGTTGTAAATTTATTTTAAGAAAGCTAATTTAAAATGTAGAGATTGCATTAAGATAGAACATAGATAAGACATTCGAGTGATATTAAAACACACCTAATTAAATAAAAAATTAAAAGTAGAAATGGTGCATTTTAGGACTGTTGGGCCTGCTTAACCCCCAATAAAAAGAGCATTTGCTGTGTAAAATATGCTGGAATAGTTGGCGGTTTATTCCGCTGTGGCAACCCCTGATGAATAAAAGAACTAATCCAAAGGAAAATGAATGAATGAAGATGATGTAAGTTGAGACGATTAGAAAAGTAATTGTGTGTTCAAAACTAGATTAAAGTGCATAATCGCTAAATCATGATGATGTCAGGTGACAAATAATTGCAATATTTTAAATGAAAAGTTCCATCAACATTCCATATTGCAGTATTTCAAATAAATCATGTAAACAATATGATTTTACAAACCCATATAAAAATAATTTAGTAATTTATAGTACTTTAAGTATTTTATAGGCTTGTTAACATGCAGTAGCATTTATCAACAACCTGTTGTAAATAAAGTGTAATACACTTACTATAATGGTTTGAAGTATTTACTATTATGACACTTATTTTTTTATTGTGGTGATGGCATTTGTCTTGCTGGATGGATCATATTAAATAAGCATAATACCTCAAATGAATATATTATGTTAATTAAGTCAATACATGCCCGTCGTGTAGGTGCGTTTGTTTCATTTGTTGTGCTTCTTTGTTTACAGTTATATCTTAAATAAATTATTATATCTTAAATAAATTATCCATTTAAAACAGCTTATATCCTAGCTGTATAAATAATCTAAAGGACAAAAGCTGTTTTAAATGGATTATTAATTTGAAACGTATTGTGTTTTATGTCATTTGCATTCATCTTCATACATTTGTCTTTAAAAGTAAACATGCCGTGAGGTGACCGATGACGCGGAGGATGTGTTCTAATCGTAGTTCCAAATGGAACATCAGACTTGCAAACTGAAAATGTTTTTGTTGGTTTGTTGAAGTGGTTTTAAGGAGGTGTAGTTTGTTGCAAATATTCTCAGCTAAACGACGATTTGATTCAACTACAATACTGTCGATAAAATACCCTGTCATTAGATCTCAGTGGTTGATGGCGAAAGCCGAAAATCCCGTATCAATGGTTGACCAATACCAGCTCAAACCGAGCGTCGAAGACGGAGCAAGGGTCAAGATGGAGAAGTTCTCTTTCCCCAAATCAAGATCCTCAAGTGGCACCAATGGTAAGTTATTGTGGTACGAATGTTCAAAATCTACTGAAAGTTAATTCTACTCATTTGAAGAGTTTTGATCTCAGTGTTGAAGATAATGAGTCAATTAAATACCTCAACACTTCAACTTCAATGGAATAAGTTCACAGTACTCATATAAATTTGTTTTTTACTCAAATGGTTTCAGTTGCCTTAATTGGGTATTACAATGTATTAATGTAAAGCTCAACAATTAATTACATTTTAGCCTCTCTTGTAAAAAATACATGTGAAAATTCATGCACAACAACAATAGCCAAATTTGTATTCAAATTAATTATAATATGGTCCACTTTTGATGTTTCAAACCTTTTTGTTGGTCCTTTTTTGTTTCAAGAGTAAGGTCCAAGATTTAAAATCAAAGTTATTTGTGAAATGTTGGCTTAAAAACAATACAGTAGCGAAAGATGACTTCACTTACTTCAGATTGTTTTTTTCTGCACAACTGTATGTTGGACTCATGAAAAACATTTGTTAGCATTGGGGAAAGTTGCTAGCTGAAGTCACATCAGTCTTAAAACCTTTCTATTTTCACTATTTATATTCACTATATGATGGCACAGCAGTCAAAATCGGACAACTGAGCTTAGGTATAGGGTAAATTCTGGACCATACATCATAAATAGTGAAAATGGATAGTGAAAATAAAAATGCTTTATTATTTCTGGCCCCTCCTGGTTACAGGCCTGAAATAATCATACAATGCCATGCAAAAATACATGGTTAAAGTAGGCCATTTCAATGTGGTCATGTCATTGGCCGATGAACATTTCCTGTTTGTTATCATACTAATTCATATCTGTAACAACAGGCAATTCAATCATATCTTCACGTTAATTTTAACATTATTAATTAATATGTGGACATTTTTGATTCCCGGAAGTTAGAGAAATTAAAAATATAAATCAGGAAATAGATTAGGACCATTGTTATTGTTTACATTTCTCAAAATGGTCTATTGCAAAACTTTACAGAAGAGTTAAATAACAAATATATATTTTTAATTTCTTCTGAAATGACTGTGCAATCATTTCTCTTTTAACAGATGAGGTGAACATGAAGAAAAACAAAAAGAACAGACTTGCACGTTTTTTCCAGTCATTGTGCAAGATGTGGTGTCTGAGATCTTCAGAAGGTAAACGATTATTACTGCGTAGATATAATGATATAAATAAACTTCAGCTTTATTTTACCTGGAGTTTAAGGTCTCTTTGAAAATGACTGTTCAATGTGTTTCTCCTTTAACAGATTGTGAAAATGACATCACTGTTGAGGAATTAATGAGGAGGAGGAGGATGGAGGAAGAGGTGACCATGAAAAATGACATTATGGAGAAAAGGAAAGAGAAGATGAAGGTGGAGGTGGAAAAGGAGATGATGGTGGTGGAGAAAGAGAACGTGATGGTGGAGGAGGAAAATGAGATGGAGGTGGTGGAGGAAGAGAACTTGATGGTGGAGGAGGAAAATGAGATGGAGGTGGTGGAGGAAGAGAACGTGATGGTGGAGGAGGAAAATGAGATGGAGGTGGTGGAGGAAGAGAACGTGATGGTGGAGGAGGAAAATGAGATGGAGGTGGTGGAGGAAGAGAACGTGATGGTGGAGGAGGAAAATGAGATGGAGGTGGTGGAGGAAGAAGAAAACTTGAAGGTGGAGGAGGACAAGAACGTAAAGGTGGAGGAAGAGAACGTGAAGGTGGAGGAGGAAAACAAAAAGGACGTTGATGAAATAAATGAGGGTGAAAAGAAGGAAGAGGAGGTGAAGAAAAAGAGGAGGAGAAGGAGGAGGCCAAGGATAAGTTGTACACAAGAGGACACTATAAAGGAGGAGGTGGAGATGAAAGTGACGGAGGAGGAGAGGATAAAAGAGGCAGAGGAGGAAGAGAAAACGGACAATGAGGTGAGAAAGGAAGCTGAGAAGGAGGAGGAGGAAGTGAAGAAGAAGAGGAGGAGGAGAAGAAGGCCAAGGAAAATTGGTACACAAGATATAAAGGAGGAGGTGGAGATGAAGGAGGCAGAGGGGGAAAACAAAATGGACTCTGGTGTGACAAAGGAAGCTGAGAAGGAGGAGGAGGAAGTGAAGAAGAAGAAGAGAAGGAGGAGGAGGAAAAAGAAAAGTGACAGTGATGAGATAAAGGAGAGTACGAAAATGGAGGAGCAGATGAAGAAGAAGAAGAGGAGGAGGAGGAGAGTAAAGAAAACTGACACAAAAGACGATATCCAGAGCAGAGCTGAGGAACCTTTGGTGAATGAGAAAAAAAGGGTGCTCTTTTATTATTTACAGATTTGAATTGCTGAAGAAAAAATAAAACTGTTGGAAAAAAACTGTTTATTTCTGTTTGTTATGTTTGTCTGCTCAGTTGTCTGTTGAAAAGTGTTGAGTTTTGTGTCTGGAGTTGTGTTGGTGATTTTATTTTTTCTAAAAACATGATGAACACATGTTGCTAAACTATGAACACATACTTTATGAAACTACCATGTTTTAAATGATAATATATCTCTGAATTCAAATCTACAGTGTGGCAGTAGCATTCTGTCATGTTGAGAAATTATTCGACAACATAGACATGAACATCACAAGCTTTGTATTAAATATTGTTTTTAATGACCCAGTTGTGAAATATTTTAATGCCTTAAAGTAAGAGATTTCATTTATTTTAATTTGAATTAGAGAAGTGCACACTTTTTTTCTCCTTTTTCTTATACGTGGAAACAAAAATGTTGAGCATAGAAACGCAAATAGTCAAATTTAGATGGCACAGTAAACAGGTCTTGTATTTGCTTATTCAGTAATCAATACTCAATGTTACCATAATGCAATTAATTTATTTACAACCTAACCTATTAGTTATTTTTTAATTTTATCTATGATTATTTTTATATTATTATTATTATTGTTGTTATTATTGTTGTTGTTATTATTATTACCCTTATATGGGTTAAGCCCCTCTAAAATGTAAGTAGAATCTCCTCTTATGTTTATTCATTTATTATTCATTCATTAATTTTAACACAATCTACATTGTAAAATGGCTATGGAAATCAAGATGAATTGAATTTAATTGAATTTTCCTTTAGCTCAGTCCCTTATTTATCAGGAGTCTCCACAGCAGAATGAACTGCCAACTGTTCCAGCATGTTTTATGCAGCGAGTGCCCTTCCAGCCACAACCCAGTACTGGACAACACCCATACACTTTCATTAACACACACCTTTACACTACGGACAATTTAGTTTACCCGAATCACCTATAGCGCATGTTTGGACTGTGGGGTTAAACCAAAGCACCCAGAAGAAACCCACAGGAACATAGGCAAACACAGAAATGCCATCTTTCCCAGCCACGACTTGAACCAGCGACCTTCTGTGAGGTGACAGTGATAACCACTGAGCCACCATGCCACCTCATGTATTATTATTATTATTATTATTATTATTATTATTATTATGATTAATATTATTATTATTATTATTATTATTATTATTATTATTATTATTATTATTATTATTATACCCTTATTAGGTTTGAGCCCCTCTAAAATAAAAATCCTAGAATTACTCTTCCTTATGAATATTCATTAATTATAATTAATATTATTGTTGTTAATATTATCACCATTATTATTATTATTAGTATTGCTTGAAAATCTCATGAATAAAAAATATCCGTGAAAAAAAGAGGGATCTCGCATTAGGTCACCACTTCTTCATCTCCTGATCCAGGTATTCCCTTTCCGTGTTTTATTTTATGTCCTCCTATTCCACTAAGAACTCTATTCCAGTGTCTATTTTGTAAGGCGCCATCACCAGTCATTGGCTGTCCCATCATCACCAACAGATCCACCGAACAATGCACCGCCGGGTTTTGTTTTGCTCCAATCCACCAAGAACTCCAGTGCCAGGTTTTGTAGCATCCCTATATTGCCCATTGCCTATCGCAACGCAGGATGAACTAGTGGGAACAGAAACACTATGGCTGCCAGTCTCTCCCTGACTCAGGTAACCTCCCTTTCTACACAAATATAGCACTCTTCAGGCCACTTTCCAGCGGTTCTAATGGGTTTACCAGATCTGTTGAGCTTTAAATGTGCGCTTTAGGGCGAAAAGCGATCACAGCCCGCTGTCTGGTCGCAGCTGTTTAAAGTTGTTTTCAGCCATTTGCTTGTGGAGAGAAAAAGTTTCAGTGTGATCTTTTAGGGACTTGCGTTAGGGCGTAGCTTAGTGTGTCAGTGTTAAACTAGGGTGGATTTACATGTATTTTTTTTCTAGCTTTTTTCGTAGCTGCTGTTCATCTAAAGTGGCAACTTTTGTTTGTTTTCTTTTTAAGGTCATGTTTCTTTAAAATGTCTCGCATATGGACGTGTGGAGGTTCTTGTAAAACTGTCGTTGAAAACTTGAAAGAGGAGCTGCAGTGATGATTACGACTTCATTTTATGGCACAATGACCTTTAAATGATCGTATTAAGGCCATTTTTTGACATACATTGGTTTTGGTTTAGTGGTGTGTAATGTATTAGTATATGGCAGTCTGTTTATAGTGGCATTGTAAAGCAGCAGGAAGTTTTGCTGCACTGCTAGCTCAGTGTTTCTCTATTCATCCTTTTAAAAATAGGAACTAGACATTGTTTGGTGCTAATATAGTCCAAAACGTCTGAATTACATTTATTGTGTGTATTTTTATTTTATAAACTTTATTGTTCTACTCGTAACAACTTTTTTGGGATTCTTTTCGACTGTTTAAACTAGTTAGCCTGCTAGCTAAAGCATTTTTGACACTCGCCCGCTAGCTGGCTAAACTGATGGTCAACCTTCAAAAAAGGTTATAGTTGAGTAATATAAGTCAAAAAGTGCCAAAAAATCTCTAAACATTTAAGTAGGAACATATTTCCTATGTGCTCTTTGCATGTTCTGAGCAAATATTAATGTGACATTTATAGATAATATCTGACTGCATGTGCATTACATGCATGGAGTCATTTATAACAGTTTTTATAGTCCACAGTTAATTATGCATTGATTGAACTGATGGTCTGAAATGCTCCTCACTTTGCATCTTGTCTTTTTTATTGCTTTAAGAATAAGACGTTTCTTTAATGGCAGTGGTGGTTGTAGTGTTGACCACATGCAGCTGATGGTGCTCTTAGTTTAGAAGCAAAGCACACATGCATGAAATATGCATTTCAGCATTAGCTCATCGAGAATACTAGGAGGAGAAGGACATACATCTGTCATGTCTTTAGTGTTTTCTGTGCAGCCAAAGAGCATAGGTTTGGTAAGAACTTATTGCAAGGAAACAGGAGGTAAAAGAGCATTTCCAGCGGTTTGGATGTGACATTTGCAGTAAAAACTCAAAACATAAATTTACAGAGGAAATATATATGTTACCATTATATTGAAACATATGTTTATATTTTCCAGAACAACTGACCAGAGTTAAGAGATCAGAAAAATATCAATCTGTAAATATGTTAATACATTAAATAAGGGAAATAAACATGCGTTGTGGACGTGACCAAAAAAGGATGTCTGAGTTATACAACATACTTTGTAGAAATTCTGTGAGTTAAACGGCACATTCCAAAAGAAATTATGCTAGTCAAAAGTATAAGAGTTGGCTCTCTAGAACAAACATAATTGATTTTATTTTATTTAATATTTTTGCATTTATGCGGAAAAAGTGTGTCGTTATGGATGTGACTGATGTGAAGTTGACTTTGGTAAATCAATTATTATAGTTTAAAAACAATGAGAGAGATTTTTAAGTATTTCTAAAGTGCGGTAAAATACTTGCTTACACAAAACACTTACTGTAGAAATGTTTACCATATTTTGGTTAAAACTTATTTTTTTCATGGCAAGGTGGACATTTGCATGGAATTGTTCAAAAGCAGAATTATGTATTTGAGTCACAAAGCCTTTATCTTAAAAATTAAATGTGACTGATTGTTTTCTGCTCGGCTATATTAAGTTATTGCATGTTTCTCATATTTGAGGCCATAATACTCCAAATGTCTCTCTTATTGCTACATTGTTCTGTTGTTGATTCTTCTAGTCTGTTCAAGTTTGGTATAGATAAAAAACCATTGGGTAATAAAAAGGGTGATAAAAAAGGGAGTGCAACCTTAAACCTGGTGTTGTTATAATGGCAATATCTATAGATAACAAAAATGTTTGATTTCATAATTGTAATTTCATTAATTTCTAAAATTAAATGTGAAAAAAAATCTAAAACAAGTATTGAACGTGTACACACGGCAAATATAAATACTTGGAAGCAGCCATGAAATAGTTTTGTTTTAAGGAATCCCACTATCACAAAACATTTATCGCAATCAGAATGTTGCTTTTACAAAAACATGCATCTGTGATGTTGTGTAAATAAACCTTTAATCATATTATACTTGTAGTTATAATACTTGTTATTACATTTGACTGTTCCTAGAGTGTGTATGGGGTTTGGTTAAACAGCCTTTTCCTCCTTTGGTCCTACATTATGGAATGAAATGCAGAGTGTTATCATGTTTGAAACAATTCCATCTCTAAATGTTTTGAAAAATCTTTTGGAGTCTTATCTGGAAGAATCATGTGAATGTTTTGCCTATATTTTAATTAGTGATATTTTATGGTCGTCTATTTTTGTATATAAAACATTTTGTGCTGCCATTCAGGCACGTGCACACATAGGGCTCAACCTGTGCAGTGCACATGCCCTTTTTAGTCTTGGATAGAAAGTGCCCTTCCAAAATGATCAAAAGTGCCCCCGCGACGCGGCACACCCTCGGTCCCCCCGCCCTTCAGTAGGCGCGCGACAACACCGCTCTTCAGAACGCGCGCAACAACAACCAACCCCACCCCCCCCCCCCCCCCCGGTCTTCAGAACGCGCGCAACAACAACCCCCCCCCCCTCTCAGAACGCGCGCAAAAAAATCTTCAAAAAATTTCTCCTGCACATGCCCTTTGGATGGTCTCTGCACGGCCCTGCTGCCATTTTGGCTAGGACCCTCTGGTAGAAGAGATGCATATCACAATGGGAAATTCCTGGTAAAATATATGATAAATAAAAAAATAAAAATAAAATGCTATCTTCATGCACCTGGAAACCCGTATTTGTAATTACAGAATATATATTATTTTTTATTTCATATTTTAGTTCATTGTTATGGTTACTTTTAAAAAGTAAAGTTCTAAAACAAACAAGTCCCCTGAATTAGTTAATAAATCACAATGTAATATTTGCAGCATTAATTATATCAGTATTCTGCAGCTCTAATAGTTTTTTAAATGCATTTTAGCAGTTAGATTCTCTGTAGATTTGCTTAATGAAGATGGCATGAATAAAATGTCAGTGCAGTTTTTTTAGATTTACTTTTGTTTTATGTTTAATTATACTTTACTAAACCTTTTGTTTTGTAGGGGCATAGTAACTTTAGGAAGAACATGCCAGAATAAAGCTCAGGAAATGAGTTGGAATCAGAATAGCCTGAACGGCCAAAATAGTTTCAGGTTTTTTTTTTTTTCTAAAGAAGCAAAACAAAAACTCCTACTCCTTTCTCAGCAGGGCAAGGAAATGTTTGGTGGCACAGAATATTGTGTGCCAGCACCGCATTAGCATGCACCAGTAACCACCTGACGGGAGACAGACAGAGCTGTTGAACTACAACCAAAAAGCAGTTGGAATCTGGCAGAACTTCGCCTAACATAGCCAGAAAATCAAGTTGATGCTCATGCATCACAATGATGTCAGCTATGTAAGAGCGTATGAGCTTTGTAATAGCTTTTGATTGGCAGAGGGATTGGTGTTTACTAAAAACTTTAAATCACAATTATGAAATTTTCTTAATATTATATTTCACTTGATTCGTCCATATGTTATAAATTAGCCTCTTGGCCGTGACTAAACCCAGTGTCGATGATCTGGTTGCGCAAATGTGGGTTCTGCCTGACTATTGTGTATCAAAACTCAACAAAAAGCTCAGTGTTAATGTGACGCTCGCCTCAGCTGAGAATGGCAGGAGACTTAAGAAAGCCACTGTTAATGAGTGGATGCATGTATATTGTACATCTTTAAATAAATAAAAGGTTTCCAAAAACTTAAAGTCATTTCCAAATCATTTGTTTTCACTTTGCTGGAAATGCTCACCTGGTTGCCAGATGGTTTTAACGTTTTCTACAGAGATCTGAATGCATCTTTGTTGCCAAGAAAGTTAGTAGTTTAGAAGAATGCACTGTTTGCTTGATTAAATGCTTTATCATTTTAAGCTGTTTAAATAGATCAATTAATGCTTTTTAATGGTGTTTTATTGTATTCGGTTGCAGCTTTCAAGTGGGAATCCTGTCTATGAGAAGTATTATCGGCAGGTAAGGGTTCTATCAGCTTTTTTTTTGTGTCTCATGTCTCATTTTGGCTTCAGGGCGCTTGGTGAAAGAAGAGAAATAAAACTCTAACCACTCTGTCAGTTTGAGATAAAAGCATTTTGAGGCTTCTGCCTCTGTAAGTGTGCTTCTCTCAGTAAGAGGATGCCGCCATGAATTAGTGATGACTTTTTCCAAACTGAACAGGACAGTCAGTGAAGAAGACTGTAGCATGGGGTTTAAACATTTTGCTTCTGGTTTTCATTCGAATGAATATTTCCAGCTGAGTTTTTGTGCATTAGATTGGACCCATTTTTTTGTGTCTTGTGTTTTAAAAAGAAAATTTATTTAATATCAAACGAAAAACACCCGAAGACTTTAATCTATGGCTTTTAATTTAATTTATGGCTGAAATTGTAGCTTTGCTATTACAGACTACTTTTTAATTCTATTAATATTAATTGATTAAATGGTTAAAATGTATGTATTAAATCATTTTTTGGTTGCTAATCTTTTACTAGCTTGTTACAAACTGAAAAAATTAAATTTGTCATGCTTTCTAGGTCATCTTTTAAAGCATGCAGACCTTTTTTTTTTCCAGTGTAACTGAAGCTCTCTGGGCTTTTTTTGGTCAGGAAAGAAAAAAAGATGCTTACACATGCTCATGAGAACCTCTCCTCTATTCTATAAAACATTAAATGAATGCTAATAATATTTAAGATACAGCATGAGCAATATAAGCTGCAGTTTATTTAATGGCCACCGCTAATAAATAGTGTCAGATAGAGATGCACAGAGCATTTTTTAAATAATATTTAAAATTTTTTATGTGCAATTGGCATACCAATGTTTTATTCAGTTTTTTTCAGTTTGGCTGATATCTGTCCACACATACTGCATTGCAGATGTTTTATACTACAAAATCTGTAACTGAAAAGTTAGGAGAGATCAGAAGCTAAAGGCGGAGAACAGATGCACTAGAAAGATATACCTCACTGACAGGCAGCATGTGGCTGAACCATAGTTAAATGGTCAAACATTCACACATTCTACTGTTTTATACTTTATTTATTTCCTTGAGAAAATTAAATGTATGTTGGTTATAAGAGTTTAAAAAATATTGTATGGATATATTGTAAAGCATTATTTAGCATGTTATTGTGTTATTAATGCACAGCCTTAAAACCAACTTTAACCTTCATTCATTTCATACTGCTGCAATTTCATTATATTTTCAACTTTAAATAAAAAGGGCTAGACGGATCATAGTTATTAGGCAGTTTGAACAGTATTACTATGTCTGTGATGTGTAAAGTATTGGGAGAAAATCCTAAATGCTATTGCGTGTTCTGTAAGTTGCTGGCTGCAGTTTTATTTAATGGCCACTGGTGTCGCTAATAACAATTGGATTCTGATTTCTACAAATAGCTCCTTAAATTTGCAACAATTTTTCACAATATTAGATTTAAACTGTATTTTCTGATCATAGAAAAACATATCCTTTGCTTACTATGCTTTATTCCACAACAGGTAGATCCGTCCAGCAGCGGGCATGTAGGAGCTGGTGATGCAGCCTTGTTTTTAAAGAGATCTGGCCTTGCAGACCTGGTCCTTGGCAAGGTAACTTCAATTAGCATGCTTTCAGTAATAGCAGTGTGGGAAATGCAAATCAGTGAATCGATTAACGCGTGCTGGAGACATCAAGATGACTTAAATAGAACAAAATAGATGGTGTTATTTACTTATTTACTGCTTATGTAATCGATTCTCAATGATTTGTTGTAAATAATAATCTGTTGCAACATTTTAAGAGCACTTTTTACTTGTACTACTCAGTTTCTCGCTTTAAATAGTCTAGTTCCTGTGTATCTAACCAATCTTCTGTCTCTCTACAGTCCAACCTGGTCTAAGGCTCCATTTACACTAATACGTTTGGGTTTTAGATTGAAAACAATCCACATCCACACTGGCGTTTCATCTAGCGTTTCTGAAAAACTCTCCATCCACACTACACCACTGAAAACACACATCACATGACCATTCACACACTCTGGCATGCACTGAAAGCTACTTCAGCGTATTCTAGCGTCTAAGCTCCAGGCAGTCAGTACTTACCGTACTTTATACCTATAATTTGGCTTATATTGACTATTAAAATTATAACTCACACTGAAAATTATATTCTGCCAAAAAGCAGGTTGTTTTTTATTTTACCATGCATTAATCTTTGTGTGCAAATAGTCTGGCATTAAGCACATATTGCCAAGACCACACAGTGAACCTAATGTTTCATAGCCTATTTGACAATGAAAATGAAAGGAGGCAGTTATAGGAGGCTCTGTTTTGTTCTAAATTTCCATCCAGTGAAGATGATGGTCATATAAACATGTACATGATGTCTTAAAATTTTTGGTCTTTGTTTTGTTTAAGTTGTTTATATAAAAACTAAAAAGACAGTACTTTACCTCATGTTTTTATTTTATTGTTAAGATAGTACACTGTAGTACACTGGCAATACATTTGAAGATTTACCCAATTTTACAAGGAAAGCATGCAAGTCTAAACCTTATGTACTTGATATTGAGAAAAGGCCCCAATCAGGTAGTGCGAATGTCAACAGCGTTTTCAGATGTCTCCGTTTCCCCCATCTACACTAACATGGATGAACAGCATTTTAAAATGAAAATGGCCTCTTTAGCACATTGGAAACGCTGTTTTTTTTTTTAGAGCTTGAAAACTTCAGGGTAGTGTGGACAGAAAGCATAAACGTAGCAAAATTTATGCGTTTAAATCTAAAACGTATTAGTGTAAATGGGGCCTAAGATTTCAAATCTAAGGGCTTCTGGCAATACCCAGAGTAACAAAGTCCACTAAAGGAGGTTGAGGGTATTCATATCTGGCTCCTAAACTCAGAAACACTCTCAGTTCAAAACTACATTAAAGACTGATCTTTTTAGTAAAGCATATACACAATGCATCACATAACTGTAGGAAATTTTTTTTATTAACTCCTTAACTTTTCTGATTTTAAATGTAATGCAATGGAGCTGCTTTGAAACTATGATTGTTGTGTAAAGTGCTATACAAATAAACTAGAACTTTCTGCCCTATTACATGTTAGTATAACTGTTAATTGTACACATAGTTCTGATTTCTGATTCATCTGTCTCATCGTTTTCTTTTTTATTGCACAGATATGGGACTTGGCAGATTCCGAACGCAAAGGCTCGCTAAACAAGCAGGTATTTTGAGAAGCGGCACTGTAATGATGATACATTGTTGTGTAAATAGTTTGAGCAGTACATTCTGAACAATATTTGCCTGCCTGTCTCCTCCCAGCAATTTTTTGTTGCCCTCCGTTTGGTGGCGTGTGCTCAGAATGGACTTGAAGTTGCTTATAAGAGCCTGAACACTGCCGTCCCTCCCCCAAAGTTTGTAAGTAAGACTTTAACTTCCTCTTCCTCTTCACCAGACCAGGAAAACGTCATCACAAGTCCCATTAAAGCGAGGGAGACCTGGGAATATAATTACCAATGACTTTAAAGCTGCTGAGTCTGTGATTTTATTTGCTTACTGAGGGGAAAATGGCGCTATGTTTCTATTGACTTGATGACTGTTTTTTCTGTTTCCTGTCTAGCACGACACTAGCAGTCCTCTTCAGTTTGGCTCTGTGCCTGCCGACACCCCATGGGTAGTCAAGGTCAGAAATCCACAACAGATTTTTAATTATTTGTATAAATGTTGTCAGTACAATTATTCATAAATTATAGATCAGCCTTTCCCTTTAGTGCCACAGTCACTTTATTGCTCATTTATGAATGTGTTGTGTCTGTGTCATACAGGCAGAGGAGAAGGTGAAATTCGATGCCATCTTTGACAGCCTCTCTCCAGTGGGTGGCATGCTCACGGGCGATAAGGTCAAACCAGTGCTCCTCAACTCTAAACTCCCAGTGGATGTTCTTGGCAGGGTAAGATGAACGTGGTGGAAAACAGGTTTATATTCAAAGTTCATTGCATAGTGTAAAGATATCACTTTTATATATGTTAAGGTGCATTTGTAGGCCTAGCCACCAGGGTGCGCTCTTGAGCCATTGCTTGAAAGCATAGTATTTTTAAAAGGAAAGTTCAACCAAAACTGAAAATTCTGTCATCATTTACTTAATTTCTATCTTCTGTTAAAACCAAATGAAGATATTTAAAAAAGCATGAAAACCTGTAATCATTGTCCTTCATAGTATTTGTGGAAATACTACTTTTGAAGTCAGTGATTTTAATAGTAGATAAGCCAAATTTAACAGAATTAAAAAAAAAGTCATAATTGTTTGGGACCATATGAGGGGAAATAGTGAGTAAAGTTTCTTTTTTTTGGTGAAATGTTCTTTTAAAAGATATAATAAACATAAATCAGATCTACAGCTAGTTTGTCGTTCCCTCTTGAAAATGTAAAAATAAGTCACAAGTAAACACTTTATTTTGATGGTCCATTTGAGTATTAGTACATGTCAGCTTACCTCAACATTACCCCAACCTAACAGTCTGCTTATAATCTAATGAGAATTAGTTGGCCTGTAGATGCAATGTAACTTAAAATCAACAAACGGACTATCAAAATAAAGTGTGACCAAACAATTTAATAGATTGAAATGTTGTAATTGATTTCTTTTGGATGTATGTTTTAGGTTTGGGAGCTCAGTGACATTGACAGAGATGGCATGCTGGACAAAGATGAGTTTGCTGTGGTGAGTTTTGTCATGTCAGACTATTTAAAATATTCTTTTTATGTGGTGCATGTTTGCATGACAGTTTTCAACAAAAAATGGAAGACGCTTTATGTCTGTGGTTGTTCATTTACACGACAACCCCATGCTGGGAGCTTGAACATTAAAAATACAGCAAATTTCAAAGTCAGGGTTTTTGAAAATGACACCATTATTATCTGTAAATTACAAAACATGTTACAGTAGTGTTTCTTTACAAACTAGCATTGCCAACTACTGACGCGGCATGCATAATGCAGCATTTTTAGTTCGCACACGGAACTGAAGAAAATTGTGAAGGAACAACTTATTTTTTTTCTATTAGTTGGTCCTTTTGTTGTGTTTTTCAATTTCTATTTAGGCTAATTTTGCATATCATTTTAGTTTTATTTTAGTCTTATTTTTCATATTTCTCATTTTTATCAATTGTTTACATTTTTAAAAGTTATTATATGTTTTATTTTAGTATTTTATTTCAGCTATTTTTGGTGCAATTAAGGCATGCCAACTGTTTTGAAAGATGTATTGCATTCACACAATTCCGTGATTTAAATTGATACCAGCTATTGGCAGATCAGGCAAAATGTTAGTTTTAATTCCTGTTTGAATAAAGAATTCAGCTATTCAATGCAACAAATCCTGTTTCCTGTTTAAAAAAATGTCTTTACACAAAGCCCTATAAGTGCAGTACGCAGATTTGTGGAATTGGTGTGGAAAGCTTTTTCATCAAGATTTTAAAACAAAATTGCTTACTTTGCCTTTAAAACCCAAGAAGCATGTTTGTCCTGTTTTTATAGTTCACATCATGAGTGTGTTTGTGTGTTTTTAGGCCATGTATTTAGTATACAGAGCCCTGGAGTCTGAGATGGTTCCCATGTCTCTCCCAGCCGCTCTGATTCCACCATCAAAACGGAAACCAGCATCTAGTCCTCCTGTGATGCCCCTTCTACCATCACCAGCACAGCATAAAGAGAGAAACTCGGCCCACTCTGGGTCTAAAACACTGCCAGCAAAAGCAACACCATCACAGGTATGCTACTTTGCTTGTACAGTACAATTTATTCAGTTTGTTAATCATCAAAATGATATGAATGATTATGGTGATTGCTGCCATTGTCATTTATAAATGTCCCAGAATAAATCAATGTTTGTTGTTTGTTTGTATGTATGTATGCGTGTGTGTGCAGTGGGTGGTATCTCCAGCAGATAAAGCCAAATACGATGACTTATTCGCCAAGACAGACACTGACATGGATGGTTTGGTATCTGGTGCTGAAGTCCGAGATATATTTCTAAAGACTGGTTTGCCATCAGCAACTTTGGCCCGTATTTGGTGAGATGGCGCTTCTTTTATTCAGATTTCCCTAATTTGTTTTTGTTTCCTTTTCCATAAATGGTCTTGTTGATTAGACTTTAAGGTATAAAATCATAATATATTTGATTCACCCAAATATTATAATTCGATTAAAAAATGAAAACTCGCCCTTGCTTTGTTACAGACGTATTAGATTATTTTTCTATATATATATATATATAAATCCAATATGTCTGTACATTTATAAAGTGGGCAAAATAAATATTGAACACGTCATGTTTTTTTCACATAATATTTCTTAAAGAGCTGTTGACATGGAATTAAACCAGATTTTGGTAAAAAAAAAAAAAAAGATCTGAAAATTTGTTGTGTGTAATAACAGTAAAATGACACAAGGAGAAAGTGCTGAACTACTGAAATGTCTTTAATACTTTATATAAAAGGCTTTTTTTGGCCTGTCATGTGGAGAATGAAGTCACATGCATTGCTCAGGTGTGAGGTTTTCACAGACATCAACAGAGTGTAGAAATCATGATGGTTCTGTGTGTCTTATCTTTTAAATCTGTGCTTCATTTTGTATTCTATATTGGATTCAAGGCATGTGATTGATTGGGCCATTCTACATCTTAATTTGCTTTCTTTTAGAACATTTGAGAGTTTCATTGGCTGTGTTTTGAATCATTGATTTGCTGAAATGTGCACCCAGGTTTCATCTTTATCATCCTGATAATGTAGATATTGGACTGAAGTAGCTAATATTAATTCAAATCAGGCTTTTATTTGTCACATAAACTTTCATATAGTGAAATTGAGAAAAAAAGCCCAGCAATTTGCACATAAACACAAAGACTAGACATAACATTGCCACAGGGGATGGGAACAGGGGTTGTGGATTTAGTCCGATGAGGGTGGGCAGACATCTGGTCCTGCAGCCATGGGGGCGCTGGTCGCAGACCCGCCTACCCCCTCCAGTGGGTGAAAGCGTGGGATGAGGGGCTAGATAGTGATTGTCTATCTGTAACTGTGTATGTGTGTAAGCCTGTAGAGTCCAACAGGTGTCCTTGACAGGGAGTAGGAATTTCAGAGTGTCTCCTTGTATTGCCTTGTATTGAAGTTGTTTTTCTCCAACCGAGGCCGTCTGGCAGGAAAAAATAAAACAAGAAAGCTGAAAGAGTAGAAAAATACTTAAACTTTAGGTCAATATCTGCTAATTTCACAGATATTTAATGTCCGTCCCTCGTCTACAGATCTGGCCAAATCTTGTTGAAAAGCCGCTAGCTTCACCCAGATGTTTTCCAATTTGCGATCTAATATTGCAGTCTGATTGTTAGCCCATCTGCCCATCGTTTTAATCAACCCGGCCAGCCTGGTGGGGTTTTGAGCAGCACTGACCACTTTCATCAATCGTCGATACCCCAGGGCCCTGCATAAGCCCATCAGCAGAAACCCTGTAATCAAATTTCCGAATAGGTAAATATCTTCAATATCCTCCAGAGACAGACAGCCAGGCACACGACGCGCCATGTCTCCTGCCCGTTCATCACATATGCAGCTGCAAACGTCTCCCGAGCCCAAACTTCTCTTCAAGAAGTTGGTGTCAATCGCATTCAGAGACCAGTTGATCAAATACATAGTTACTTATTCGTTTGGATAGCAGGGCACGGAGAGCCTCAGAGATAGAATAAGACGAAGACAAAGAGCTAGCAAGAAGAGATATGGGACGTAGAGGGAAAAAGTGCAACCGCCTTCGCCGAGAGCCAAAGATAGAAAAATGATGAAGGGCAGAGTGTTTCTGAATAACTACTGAGAGATTTCTGCTGCTGTCTGCTGTCACTGCCTTTCTACCCCTCCCTTTCTTCATGTGTTCAATACTTTTTTTTAATGTCATTTCATTTTATTACACAACTTCATTTGTAAACTAGTTAGATTTGTTTTCTTTGCATATACAGATTTTTGTTTTATTATCAACATAAACCACTTGCTTTTAACCGATTGGGGCAAGTTAATTAGAATTTTGGTGTACACTATCCTTTCATATCCTTTCATAACTCTCAAACTATATGTAACAGTGTATCTTGTTGTAGTGTTTCTGTGTGTGATCTTAAAGTTTTCTGCATGTTTCTATAGGGAACTGTGTGATATAGGAGATGTCGGAAAGCTGACCCGAGATCAGTTTGCACTGGCTCTATATCTTATCAATCAGAAGCTGTCAAAGGGAATTGAGCCACCTCAGACACTCTCTCCAGAAATGATTCCTCCTCCTGATAGACTGGCACGACAGGTACAGTGAATCCCTGTATCTAACGGGAATAAGTAATATATTTTAAAAAAATGTAGGTATTTATGTTATGTTTATTTTAGTTTATGTTCAATTAAATTTAGTAGTTAAGATTATTTTTTTGTTTTAGTTTGGTTGATTCAGCTGTCTAATTAAACCTTATTGTAAATGGTGACTGATTTTTGTTTCAGCTAACGAAAGGTTTTAGAATGTTTTAACAAAAATGATGTTTCTGTGATGAACACTAATAATATTGTCATCTTTTATTATTATCTTTTAATTTAAGATCTATGTAAATGGTATAATTTTCTGTTATTAATCCTTAATTTCATCCTAAATGAATCCTTTAATTTCATCAGCAAGACAGAAAAAATCCCTTACTACATGGGAATAAGTAAAAACTAAAAACATTCAAGCACATATATTAAAAATATTTTCAATTTATGGCAAAGCTGAGAGAAGCTGATAGGGCAATTTCAAAAACCTTCTGAAGAGGCAAAGCTTAAATTTGCACATGGTCCTTCAGATATCATGCTGATATGCTTATTTTGATGCACAAGAAAGATCATTAAGAATCTTGAAAGTAATTCTGCTGCTTAAAACTTCATCAGAACCATAGCTTGAAAGAACACTATTTATTTATATTTTAAAATCAACATAACTAACCTTTTAATGCCACTTTTGAATAATGTAATGTTTGCCTGCTAAATGAAAGTGGTGATCTTTTGTCTAGAATTACAACACTAAACTAAATTCCTCTGTCATCATTGTTTTAACCTTGATCTGATCTAATATAATAGTTTTTAAAGATGGTTAGTACAGTTTTCTTTTAATAAGCTTTCTAATATTTTTTAATGCTCACACTATTCTTTCTTCTGAACAGAACAATGCTGTCACACTGCAGGCTGCAGATTTCTCCGCAATAAAAGAGTTGGACTCACTTACTAATGAAATCATGGACCTGCAGAAGTAAGTTACTGAATGTAAAATGTCTTCTCAACCTATGGGTTTATTTATAGATGAACAAAGTGCATTTTGTGACATTTTTAGCATTTTCGATTCTCTATTTTGTTTTTAGCATTAGGCCATCTGTTTCAGTTTAGTATTGGTTTGGAGTTTCCCAACAATTCCCTCACACAGGTGCACAGGAGCTTCTGAAACTACAGACACAGAAGTGTGGGTCTGACTGTAATCATAGTGTGTGACAGTACATCAGTCTGTCTTCAGGTCATGATAGATGTTCTTGAACTGAGAAATGGCTTCTTTAATGAGTATCTCATTACTTAATGTGCCTCGCTCTGTCATCGTTAAGGTCATATCAAGTGAAATTATTGGCCACGGTGTTTGGAAAAATAAAGTCGCTTGTGTTAAATGGATAAAGTGATTGATCAAAGAAAATAAAGACATTAAAGAAGTTATGGTTTGCTCACCCTCATTGTTTTGTAGCACACTGAAGGTGAGAAATCATACTATTATAAAAATCTATTTGTGGCACAGTGGCTCAGTGGTTGGCTAGCATTGTCTCCTTACAGCAAGAAGGTCGATGGTTCGAGTTCCAGCTGGGTCAGTTTGCATTTCTCTGTGGAGTTCTTCCCGTGTTGGCATTTGTTTCCCCCCACAGCCATGTGCTATAGGTGAATTAGATTAACTATATTGGCTGTAGTATGAGTGTGCGTGTGTGTGTTAATGTGAGCGTATATGGGTGTTTCCCACTACTGGGTTGCTGCTGGAACGGCATCTGCTGTGTAAAACATATGCTGGAATAGTTGGCAGTTCACTCCACTGTGGCCACTCCTAATAAATAAGGGGACTAAGCCAAAGAAAAATAAATAAATAAATAATAATAATAATTCGTTTCATTTATATAGCTCTTTTTCTGGGCACTCAAAGCGCTTTACACATAGGGGGGAATCTTCTCATCCACCACCAGTGTGCAGCATCCACCTGGATGATGCGGCGGCAGCCATTTTGCGCCAGACCGCACACCACACACCAGCTGATTGATGAAGAGGCGACAGAGTGATGAAGCCAATTATGATATGGGGAGGGTTAGGAGGCCGAGATGGACAGAGGCCAGTAGGCAGATTTGGCCAGGATGCCGGGGTTAAACCCATACTCTTTTTGGAAGGACGTCCTGGGATTTTTAATGACCACAGAGAGTCCCTGTCACTATACTGGGGCATTAGGACTCACATGGACCGCAGCTTGGACGCCCCCTTGCTGGCCTCACTAACACCACTTAAGGCAGCAACCTAGCTTCCCCATGTGGTGTCCCCCATCCGGGTACTGACTGGGCGCAGCCCTGCTTAGCTTCAGTGGGCTTCCCTGTGAGAGTTGCAGAGAGCTAGCTGCCGGCAAAAGGAATATAAAAAATGAATATAAATAAATAAATGAATGAGTAAATGTCTATTTTTATAATGTAGTACTTTTAAAAATGGAATTTCAGTGCTCTCAAATGAAAAACATACAAATCACTAATATGCTATTCATATATTATTTATGTTGTGTGCTGCTCAGCGCTGCGACATGGCGCGCACATGACAGTTGGAAGTATCACAACAGACACGCACATTCAAACGTTACATTTTAAAGGAAACTGTTCTGATGGGGCTGTGGCGCAGCAGAAATATGAACCATGTTCTGAGTCATAGCTGGGCACCGCAGACTGTGGCGCTGGTGTGCATACCCTGATAGAAGTCTATGTTTAGAATTCTAAAATGTGTGGCGCATCCAGTGTGTGAACCTATTTAAATTAGTATTTATTTATATTGTGCATTTTTTTATATTTTAGCTTAGGTTTTTTATGTTCTTTTTGTCATGTTTATTTTTGTTTTAATTTTTATTAATTTTAATATTTAAGCAATTTAATACTTACTATTCAGGGCTCGAAATTAACTTTTTTATTTGGTAGCACCGGTGCTCCCAACTTCAAAAATTTAGGAGCACCAGAAAAAATTTAGGAGCACCCACCAAAAATGATTGAGCACCGCTGCAAATTGTATTTTAAGGGACTTATTGTATTTTAAAACAACATTAATTAGGACTAACAAAAACCAGAAACAACTATCTAATGCTGAGATGACATTGATATTTGTGTGCAATAATTCCAAAATGTGTATGTATTATAATTCTAGAATATTAATGATGATGAAAATGACAATAATAGTAACAATGAATTACATTTCTCATCATCATGCTGCCTTGAATGTGCTTGAATGCAAGTTATCTGCTATAAAAAGTCTGTTACTTTATGAAAAATAAATGTATAGTTTGCATCAAACAAAAATGAAGCATTGCAGTAAGAAATATTTATTTTGTACTGCTAAACAGCATATATATGCATGTCAGTTTAATAAATAATATTTCTGCTGCAAAACAAACAAAAGATTATAATAAAATATTAAATTCAAGGCTGAAAGCTGCAAAACAGTCATCAGTAGCCTAACTAAATTAAAAAAATAATATACACCTCAAGAAAGAATAGGCAAAAGAAAGTAAGTAAAGTCTCACTTCTATCACTCTTTAAAAGTTTTGGTTTCAGTTTGTGTCAATTTAAATGTTCCGTCTGAGCTGATTTTCATTTTTCTGTGTTTGTGGAAAAGCAGGCGAGTCAGCCGACCCAATTTATGAGCAGGTTGACCATCGGCGCAATACCGCTGTTTGTTATGAGACGCAGTTTCAGTGTAAACTTAGTAAAGGCGAGCTTCTTTGGCGATGATACAGTATTAGATTTGACTTTTAGCGGACATTTGCGCTGAACACGCAGTGAATGCGACGCATGATGATTCGGGCACCTTCTCCAAGAAGCGCGTACTCGATTGATCTCAGCTGGCGGATCAATATTCACCACGTGACGTGTCATGATCGCTCTCATCTGCGCCTCAACTTTAGGTGGGGTTTGCACTTTGCAAACCTGCGTGCTTTAAGTTTTCACTCTTTAGCCGTTTGCATTTCCCGTGGACATAAAAGCTCCCTCCCTGTCATCTAACAGTGAAAAGCCTTGGGTGATTGACAGCTAATATGAACCAATATAGCGGCAGGGAAGAGCGATTCAGCACGTTTAAAAAAAAAAAAAAAATCAAAACAGGTCGCACTAATGCGCCCAAATTTACTATGAGGTCGCATCGATTAATTTTCGGGCGCATATGCGACCAAAATGGTCGCAATTTCGAGCTATTTGCTTGCTATTTATTTTTAACACTTAAGCAAAATTGAATACTTAAATAAAACTCAACGTACTATGCCAAGCAGACATTTCTGTTTTTAATTCAGTTTTTTTTTTGTAATCATATTTTGTAAATATATTTTGCTTCAGCCAATGGAAACCATTTGTTTTAGATCACAATGACAACTCTTGTTGCTTCAACTAAAGCCAAGCAACTAGATTGTGTTGAAAATAAAGTTGTATTTCACAGATAAATACATTGAATTAATAGATTTATTGTAAAACTCTCACTCAAAAAAATGATTGTTCATAGATAATGCACTGAGTTGCAGTCTATACCTTACATGATCTTGATTATATTGCTCAAGAAAGCTACTTTGCTACATCAAGTTTCCTGTAAGCATTAAAGTCTCCAGAGAAGCGAATGCTGCTGCTTTTGATGGGAGTCGCTAGTCCACAGAGGAGAGGTGGAGCTCTCATTTACACAAACACAGAAGATGCCCCCACCGCTGCTTTTTTCCTTCATCTCTGAAATACAGAGTTTGAGTAAAAGCAGTCACCTGTCAGCACACTCACTCTCAGTGCCAGATGCACCATCAGTTTTAGCACTTCTCACTTCCTCCTTCTGGGAAATAGTGCAAGAGAAAAAGTAGGCGAGAAGTATTGAGTCCGCTTGCAATGGAGAAAGCAGAAGGTGATGAGCAGAAAGGATAGGAGACAGCAAGAGTCTATAAGATGGGCTACTGTTTGCCTCTAAAATGATTCGTGCGGTTCGGGATTGCCTTAAATCTCCACGGCAACGGGCGACCTCAGGTGACAGGTAGGAATAGGCCACACCCTTTTTCCAATAAGAGAGCAGCAATAATAGGCTGTTTGTGTTCTGTTGTTGTTTTTGGTTGATCCGGGTTGCTCAAGAGTTTGTTTCTAGATGGATTTAGTTATGTTGGCAAGACTTTTTGTTCTGTATTATTTATATGCTCTCCTTTATTCTATTTTCTTGTGTTTCTTGTGGGAGGTTGACTCACGGTGTGTGTGTTTGACTCTTGGTCAGATGCATGTGAGTTTCTCTGTTGCTGGGAAGACTGCAGCATGAACTCACCGTGTCAGAATCTGGGAGGAAACGTTGAGTCAGAGCTTAATACAGTTCATCTAAGATGCTCTTATGACTTTTATTAAACATTATTGTACATTTTTGTTCTATTCTTTTCTTTTTCTGATCTTTCAGTTGCACTCTTGATAGCTTGCAAACCTTGCAAAGAGAGTTTCCACGTAATGAATATTTTCAGCACCATAACCTATTTTATAAGGCTGTGCGATATTGAAAAATCTGACATTCCGATATTTTTTGCTGCAGTATATTTTGCGATATGAATATGATTTGAACAGCTCTATTTGAAAAGATTATATTCATTTTGATCAACAGGGGTGATCAAGCCTTTTTCTATACAGCGCATCTGCATAAATTTTAATTAATTACCAGCATATAAAAATACGACAAAGCAAAAATAAAAGTTAAGTACAGTGCATCTGGAAAGTATTGATAGCGCTTCACTTTTTCCACATTTTTTATGTTACAGCCTTATTCCAAAATGGATTAAATTCATTTATGTCCTCAATTCTACACACAATACCCCATAGTAACAATGTGAAAAAAGATTTTTTATAATTGTTGCAAAATTGTATTCGTGAAAAATCACATGTACATCAGTATTCACAGCCTTTGACATGAAGTTCTAAATTAAGCTCAGTTACATTCTGTTTCCACTGATCATTCTTGATATGTTTCAGCAGCTTAATTTGAGTTCACCTGTGGTAAAGTCAGTTGATTAGACATGATTTAAAAAGGCACATACCTGTCTATATAAGGTCCCAGGGTTGACGGTGCATGTCAAAACACAAACCACGCATGAAGACAAAGGAATTGTTTGTAGATTTCTGAAACAGGATTGTCACAAGGCACAAGGCTGGGGAAGGTTACAGAAGAATTTCTACTAGTTTAAAAGTTCCAATGAGCACAGTGGCCTCCATTATCCGTAAGTGGAAGATGTTTGGAACCACCAGGACTCTTCCTAGAGCTGGCCGACCATCTAAGTTAAGTGATCGGGGGTAGAAGAGCTGTATCAAAACCCAATGGTCACTCTGTCTGAGCTCAAGAATTCTTCTGAGAAGAGAGGAGAACCTTTCAGAAGGACAACCATCTGTGCAGCAATCCACCAATCAAGCCTGTATGGTAGAGTGGCCAGACGGAATCCACTCCCCACCTGGAATTTGCCAAAAGGCATCTGAAGGACTCTCTGAGTCTAAAATTGAACACTTTGGAGTGAATGCCAGGCATTACATTTGGAGAAAACCAGGCACTGCTCAATACCAGGCTAATGCCATCCCTAGTGAAGCATGGTGGTGGCAGCATCATACTGTGGGGATGTTTTTCAGCAGCAGGAACTGGAAGACTAGTCAGGATAGAGGGAAAGATGAATGCAGCAATGTACAGAGACATCCTGAATGAAAACCTGCTTCAGAGTGCTCTTGACCTCAGACTGGGGCGACGGTTCATCTTCCAGCAGGACAATGACTCAAAGCACACCGCCAAAGTATCAATGGAGTGGCTACACAACAACTCGATGAATGTCCTTAAGTTGCCCAGACTTAAATCCTATTGAACATCTCTGGAGAGATCTGAAAATGGCTGTACTCCGTCGCTTCCCCTCCAACCGGATAGAGCTTGATAGGTACTGCAATAAGGAATAGGCAAAAATTCCCAAAGACAGCTGTGCCAAGCTTGTGGCATCGTATTCAAAAGACTTGAGGCTGTAATTGCTGCCAAAGGTGCATCAACAAAGTATTGAGCAAAGGCTGTGAATACTTATGTACATGTGATCTTTCAGCTTTTTTAGTTTTGATAAATTTGCAACAGTTTAAAAAAATCTTTTTTCATAAAGTCATTATGGGGTATTGTGTGTAGAATCTTGAGGAAATAAATGCATTCAATCCCTTTTGGAATAGGCTGTAACATAAAAAAATGTGTAAAAAACGAAGCGCTATGAATACTTTCCGGATGCACTGTATGCTTGATAAGTTGGCGGTTCATTCCGCTGTGGCGACCCCTAGATTAATAAATGGACTAAGCTGAATAAAAAAATGAATGAATGATTGAATATTCTCGTGCTATATTTGTGATATCTCAAAACGACAAATCTGGTATTCACCTTGTGTTATTTATATTAGTCATTGTATTTTTTTTATTTAAAATAGTATTTGTTTTATGTGCATTTTAATATTTAAGCTCTTATATTTTCAGTTTTTCTTTTGTTCTATTATATTTTTTTATTTTAATTGTAATAATTAAAAACTTAAACAAATTGTCAAAGCAAATCTTTCATCTTTCTCTTTTTTAATGTAATTTAGATTTTACTGAGATTGTCAAAAAAGTTATTATTTTTATTTTTACTTTTTATTAAACAACTTTTCTTCTTTTTGTCTTTAAGAATATGATTTTCCCCCCAATTTTTTTATATTTAAAAGAATGCTATGCATTTTGTTCAAATGGTTTCTCTTTATGTAATTAAAATTGAAATGGCTTTTTGACAATCAAGCAAAACCTCCCTTTCTCTTTCTCCCACTGTCTCTCTCTCCTGACGTTCAGAAAAGCATCTGCTCATGTGCAGCTATGACACATCCAGTCTTCTATCTCACACGCACACTCACAGCAGCAGCAGACTCAGAAATGGTGCTGGAGGGAGAAGCTGTTCCTCCTGCTCCCGGCGGCTGGCTGTCTGTACCCGCCGTCGCCACTGTGATTAAATACTCATGTCTGTGCTGGTCTTTCAGGGAGAAGAGCGTGGTGGAGCAGGACATCAAAGACAGGGAGGAAACTATTCGACAAAGGACCAGCGAAGTCCAGGTAAGAACCCATTCATATTTTAATGCAAATAAACGTATTTTGATTTAGCTGTTGATGGAATGTGTATTTATATATGTGTGTGTAAATATGCCTACAGAGGTCTTTTTATTTTGTTTATCAATGTTTAACAGCAGCTTGCTTTCTTACATTAATTTGTTTTAAATCATTTTTAGTTTATTTAGTTGGCTTATCGCCCGAATAGCTTTAAAAAAAAAATAAAGAGATGGATTGTTTAAATGTAAATGGCTGCGTTTTTATTTGATATTTTATTTTATTGTTAAATATTTAGCAGCTAGCTGCCTTAATTGTTTATATAATTTTATCATTTTATATTATTTAATTACAGTGTAATCATAATAATATTTGTTTAATTGTGTTTAAATGGATAAATATTTCATTTTACCAGTAGTTTTCTTTATGATCATTGTTTAAAAGCAGTCGGCCTCTTTTGCCTGTAATTACAGTATTGACCCTTTCATGCAGCATAGATTTTACTGTTCTGCATTTTACTGACTGCTTATTGGCCCAATAAAGAGCCGTAAAAAGGCCAACAGAAGCCTGCTGTTTTGTCCTCTTGCTCATCTGTCTGTCTTCTCTGGCTGTCGTGCATTTTTTTTCTCTCCTCGTTGGTCTGTCAGGAGTTGATAGGAGTTCAAGGTCTATGTACTGTATGCACACTGGCTCCTGACTCATAAATTTGTTGTTTTTCATTTCCGTTGAGATCCAAGCTCCCCCTCCCTCTATTTCGCACACACTCTTGCGCTGTGTGATAATTCAATTTCCTGTGTATCTAGCTGAAAATAAGCCGTTTCGTAGGCTGGAAGGTGTTTTTGGCTCCTGAATTAGATTTTTTATTCAAATGCGTTCAGATTAGTTAATAATGTGGTCAGTCAGTAAGGGAATGAAATGTACATGAGTTTATTTATTTTGTTTTGAGACATGCCATTCATTTAAGGAATGACTTAAGTCGGCTTTATTTTATTTTGAGCCATGTAATTGATTAAGACAATGAAATTTTTATTCTGTACGTCAGCAGTATTATATTCTGAGACAGATCGTTTGTTAAAAGAATAATGCATTAATCTTAATTTTGTTTTTTTAGACATGTTAATCATTAAGAAAATGAATTTTATTTTATTTTGAGACTTTGTTTAAAGAATGACATGCATCAGCAGCATTTTGTTTTATTTTGAGGCATGTCATTCATTAAGACAATGACAGTTTAAATTTATTTTTATTTCATTTCGAGACATGTCATTTGTTAAGAATACCATTTTAATTTTTTTAATACATGTCATTAAGACAATGAATTTTATTTTTATTTTGAGATGTTATTCATGACATGCATCAGCAGTATTTTCTTTTAGTGTGAGACATGTCATTCAAAATAAATAAAGTATTTAATTTTATTTGACTTTATTTTGAGACCTGTCATTTATTAAGGCAATAATATTAAGACAATGACTCTTATTTTGTTACATTTTTATGACACATGACATACGTCAGTAATGTTATATTGAGGCATGTCATTCATTACAACAAAAACGCTTTCTATTTTGTTTTGTGAAATGTCATTAACACAATGAATTTTTTTGGTCTTGAGACGTCATTCATTTAAAGAAGGACATGCATCAGCAGTAATTTGTTTTATTTTGAGACATATCATTCATTAAGCCAATGATTTATTTTATTTTATTTTGATACTCGTCATTAGTTCAGTTCAATTCATCTTTATTTCTATAACACTTTTACAGTGTAGATTGTATCAAAGCAGCTTAACATAGAAGTTCTAGTACATTGAAACTGCCTCAGTTTATTTTCAGAGTTGACATTCGTTAAGACAGTAGCGCTTTTATTTTATTTTGAGACATGTAATTCATTAAGACAAGGAAACTTAATTTATTATTATTTCATTTCGAGACATGTCATTCTTTAGGAATAGCATTTTTATTATAAGACATGTCATTAAGAGTGAATTTTATTTTATTTTAAGACGTCATTCATTTAAAGAATGATTAGTTTTGATTTAAGACATCTCATTCATTAAGACTTTTATTTATTTATTTTATTTTGAGACCTGTCATTCATTAATACGTCAGCAGTATTATATTGAGACATGTCATACATTCAACAAAGACGCTTAATTTATTTTAATTTTATTTTGAGAAATGTTATTTGTTAAGGCAGGGGTGTCCAAAGTCAGCCTTGGCCGGCCAGTGTCCTGCTGACTTTATCTCCAACTTTCTTCAACACACCTGCCTGGAAGTTTCTAGTATACCTAATAAGAGCTTGATTAGCTTATTCAGGTGTGTATGATTAGGGTTGGAGCTAAACTCTCCAGGACACTGGCCCTCCAGGACCGAGTGTGAACACCCCTGTGTTAAGGCAATGAATTTTATTCTTATTTTGAGATGTTATACATTGAAAGAATGACCTGCATCAGCTGTATTTTTTTTATTTGAGACATGTCAATTATTAAGACAATATTTTATTTTATTTTTCATTTTTATTTTTTTATTATTTATTTATTTATTATTATTATTTTTTTTTTGGAGACCTGTCATTCATTAGGACAATGACACACATACGCACTAATGTTAAAATACATTGACAGATGGATACCTAATGAGCCGGAAAAACAATGGCATGTGTGTGTGTGTAAGCTTACAGGAAGGGAAAACAGTCAGATATATGTGTGTATGGATATTAGATGGCATATTGACAGCACAGCTGGTCTCGCTCTCCAGGGTTCTCCTTTCCTGTCATCAAACAAGGCCACTTATCCTGCTGATTTGCTGTTTTTTTTCCACATCTGAAAATGTGCCTGTGACACCTGTGATCTCTTGCATGTGCAAAAAGCCTATTTAAAATGGATCTCGCTCTTGAATTTCTTTAGTCTTTTTGAAGTTCAATTGATGTGCATTTTAAGTTTCAAATGTTGTGTCAAAAGTAGTCCTGATTAATGATCTCACCTATGCAACAGTGCAAAATAAAGAAAATTAAAAATCTATATTTTAAGCTGTTACAGGCAAAGGGCCTCTTACTAATTTTAAATGCGATCAATATTTGTTTAGACTCCTAATAGATTAGCCTTGAAACATGCAGGGCTTGTAGGGAGCTCGTAACGTTAAATAATTCAATAAGAGTGTGCCGAGTTTTAGCTGGTGCCGCTGCTGTGTTTAAAGCCGGGATGATGAATAGATTCTATTTCGGGGTCTGTCGGCTTCCAGCGCCGCTTCTGATTGGAGAAGGAGACGCTTGTGCTTTAGACTTGTGAATTTTTCCGTCTTCACCCTGAGCAGTTACTCAGTTCTGCTGCTGAAGACCTGGTATTTTTAGCCACACTCAGTCAGAGTCTCACACTGCTGTAATGGTACCTTCAGGTGAGAAGGAAATTACATCTTTTGGATTTCCATTGTTTTTTCTAGAAAATGCATTACTGAAGCTACTCCGTTCAACAGTTTATTGACCATATGATCTGTTAGAAACAGAAAACACACCATTTGTTGATATATTTTGTATGTATAGTTGTTAAATTATGTATATTATTTATATACATTCTGATATATAAAATAATATAAACAAAAACACATTTTTTATATCCAATTGCCAGTGTTTTAATAATCAGATTCCTCAAGAAATGTGTAATTTTCCCTTTGAAAATTCAGCTTCATCACTAGAATAAAGTAACAATACTATAATATAATATAATAATATATTGATAACATAATTGATACATAATTGATATTGATAACATACTATAATATAATACTATAAAATAATACTGTTGTTTGTTTGCAAATTTATGTGTGGACCCTGTTCACCAAACAGTGATGCGTTTGACTTTGCATTATTTTATCTTTGCATCAGCTTACTGCTTATGCGAGGTGTTTTGAATGCAGCATAAATGGGCGGGATGGTAAATTTGACGTTGTTTTTCTTTTGGCTGCTGTTTCCCTGTCTCAATCAAATTGTTTATTATTTGATCAAAAAGGATACAAAAAATGTTGTGAAACTCTCCTATTCGCTAGGCTTTAAGTTTGCCCAACTGTGGCAACTTCTGTTTCAGGTATAATCCATAAATGTAAAAAATGTCTATCAGTTTCTATTCAGTTTTTTTCTATTAACTGATATTTAAATAACTACTGTTATAGCCACAACAAAAGCCAAGTATTGAACTTATTAGCTCTTGTAAATTAAAAATTTAAATGGGTTATGTAATTTTTAATAAGAGAAGTAAGGTGGTATATTTTCTTGTCTTACCGCCACAAAAAAACTGTTTAAATGTAAAAATTTTATATTAATTTTATTCTATATTTCTTTCTTTCTTTTGTTCTTTCTTTTTTTCAACTTAATAGTAACTGAAAGCTCTTAAAATGCATAAATGTATTAGAATTTTTCAGTTGTATGTAATCATTTGAACAGAGGGAGAGGATGGATGGATAGATAAATGAATAGACGGATAGATGAATAAACAGACGGACATATAGATAGATAGATAGATAGATAGATAGATAGATAGATAGATAGATAGATAGATAGATAGATAGATAGATAGATAGATAGATAGATAGATAGATAGATAGATAGATAGATAGATAGATAGATAGATAGATAGATAGATAGATAGATAGATAGATAGATAGATGGATGGATGGATGGATGGATGGATAGACGGACGGACGGACGGACGGACGGACAGACAGACAGATAGATAGATAGATTTTTTTTATGAATTCGTTTTTTTCTTTTTGTTCTTTTATTGTTGTTCAAACCATTCCGAATGAACCAGTTGCAAACAACAAAGAAATTGTTTTGTTGCCAAACTATTCAGACGTCGCCTTCGATAAAGTGGGCGATTCTTGGCCAGAATAAGCTGCAGTGTGGTCTTAGACTCCATATCCCTGTTACAGATGGCATCTTCAGGCTTCACAGTCCTCCTACATGTCTACACTTTCCCTACGCATTCCGTCATGTGCTGCCGGGAAATATTCAGCTCTGAGTTCCGCATTTTAGTAGTTTCGGCACAAGGTCGCACTGAGGCTGTGAACACAAATCATAAAACACATAAATGCAGTGTACTGTGGTCTCATTAATGTCACAAACAAAAAATGAAATCAGTCACTGGATAAGGTCATAGCTGATGCTCAATACTCTGAAGCCTACATGAGGTTGAACATTACACTTTCCATTAAGAAGGAAGTGTACCTGCACTATTTTTTTTTAAATAATTTAATTATTTTGTATTTTTAATTGTATTTTATTTAATTTATTTTATGATTTTATTTTAAATACTTTATTTTTAATTATTTTATTTTTAAGTAATTTTATTTTAATAATATATTTATTATTTTGAAAAAAAATCTTTTTAAATGTATTTTATTTTAAATACTTTATTTTTTTATTATTTCATTTTTAATTTATTTTTTTATTTAAATATATTTTATTTTAAATACCTTATTTTTTCCTAATTTATTTCGTTTAATCATTTTAATTTTTAATTACATTTTTTCTTAAATGTATTTTATTTTAAATACTTTGTTTTAATTTTTTTATTTCATTTAAATTTTTTTGAATTTTTAAATGTGTTTTATTTTAAACACTTTATTCTTAATTATTTTAATTTATTTTTAACTATTTAATTTCATTTTTAAAGGTATTTGTTATTTTTAAATGTATTTTATTTAAAATAATTTATTTAATATTTTTTGTTGTAAATTTCTTTATGTATTATTTAAATACTTTATTTTTATTAATTTTATTTTTTTATTATTTCATTTCATTTTAAATTTATTTTTAATTGATGTTTTATTTTAAATTTTTAAATTTTTATTTTTTTAAATATTTTTTACATCTATTTTATTTAAATTATTTTATTTTAATTACTTTATTTTTAATTGTTTTATTTTATATATTTTTATTATTTTGTTTTTAAATGTTAGGTCTGTGTTCTTTCAGTTTGAGCAAGGATTAGAATTAATTTGTTCATTGCGTAAATTTATTTTTCACTTCTGTGTTTAACATCTTGGTAAGTTCTTCCATCTGAATTGGTTTCTTCTGTTAAATGCAATAAAAGATTTTTTGAAGAATTGGTGCTACCAATTGCCTTTTTTTCTACTGTAGAAGTCAATCAGTACCAGCATTCCTCAAAATATTTTTTTTTGTGAAACTCATGAAGGTTTAAAATCCCACGAGTTTTGTTTAACTATTCCTTTAAGCTGTTGTGCATATAATTCCTTTCTGTCTCTATTCTGTTTTGTTTACTTGGCCTTTTGGTGTGTCTTTTGTAATAGGTTTAAACACTTTTACCATCTCAATATCTTTCCTCCTAGTGCGTTTTATATTCACTTTAGGAGCAGCATTATCTCTCTGCAGTGTTGTCAGTGTGATGAACTCCTGTTTATTATTAGATCAATGAAGATATGTTGATTGTCCTCTAAGAACGAAGCATCTCTTTCCCTCAGGACCTGCAGGAGGAGGTTCAGAAGGGCTCAGATGAGCTGGGCCGCCTGCAGGCCGAGCGGCAGGAAGTGCAGGAGAAGCTAGAGAGGCTGGATGAGCAGAAACGCTCGCTAGAGGAGCAGCTCACGCTTATTCAACAGCAATGCAGCCAGGAGAGCCAACTGGTAAGAGAGAGACAACAATATCAAGCCTGTGTATGAAAGATACTGACCTGAAAATTTAGAAAGCACTTAGCCAAAGACCAGGGTTCATATGGTCATGGGAAACCTGGAAAAGTTGTGGAATTTTGACATGACATGTTTTGGAAAAGTGATGAAAATTAGTTTAATGAATATCTGTATGCTTGAATATTGGTTAGTTGTCTTTACTTTTCTGTCCCTGGCCAAAAACATGTTCTCACTTTATTAGTGTTGTGTAAGCATTATCTAAATAAGTATTACATTGATATAAAAATAAATGTAAACTAATGCCATTTACCACATATACTTAGACTTTACATGAAACATTAGGTCCTGGTCTTAAGTGTCCTGGAAAAGTCCTGGAATTTTAGTCGTAAAAATGTGTTTCAACCCTAAAAGCCAAAAAGGACTTCTTGTAAATTAGTTGTTGCTGTAATATTTTGTGTTAATATTAAACTGTTTATTACATTAAATTGTATATTGTAATTTATGTAATAATTAATTCAAACTAATTTGCTGATTGTTTCACAACAAATTGGACAAAATTATTTAGAGCAAACTTTATATATGGAACCTGTTTACAAGGCGGTGATGCTTTTACTCGTCATCAGCATCTTTATTCCTTCAAAGATTTTAATACGTTAATTTTTTTAAATGTATTTTTAATAAAATGCATTTACATTTATAAAGCTATAATTTGTATTATATAATCCGTGGATCAGATTACCACTTATGCTGGGTGTTTGTAATGCAGCGTCAATGGGCAGGACAGTAAATTAAACATAGTGTTTTTTTCCTGATTGCCATTACCAATCTCACACAATTTTTCTTTTTTATTGTTGGGAAAATTGTTAAAACACCATTGTGGATTTTTATGATTATTATTATTATTATTATTATTATTTAATCAAATAGAAATACAAAAAATTGTGGTACTTTCCCATTCATTGTGCTCTAAGTTTGCCCAGCTGTGACAATTTTCGCTTCTGAGATACCCGGAAATATAAAAAAGGGTTTCTAAATAACTAATAGTTTTAAATAACTACTATTTTAAGTAGTTATTTATATAACTACTATATTAAGATGTATAAGCAATAATGCCTATCCGAGTAGCTGGTAAGCTGGGGTCACTTGGAGTTCCAAATATACCTATTAAGAAACAGGGCAATAATGTCTCCCCTAGGGCCTCATTGATGGATTTAAAAATCAATGTCCAATAATTTTTTAAAGAAGGGCAAGACCAAAGCATAAGTGTCAAATCAGCTGGAGAAAACAAACATCTATCACAAGACGCATCTAATCCAGGTTACATTCCTGCCAACCGTGCCTTGCTTAAATGTAACACTTTAACACTTTATAAGCCCGAACCTAACAGAGGATGATGATGCATGAACATTTCTGAGTGCCTCCTCCAAAAAAAGTCTCTGATAATTTTAAGTTCGTCTTTCCATCTAGATTTAATTTTATCCACATTATATTCTTTCAGAGATATGAGTTTAGCGTATAATGTGGAGATCAATCCTTTATTAAAAAAATTAAGAGTAAGATTATAGAGTTATTAAAACTATTAAAACCGGTTTTCATCTTCACTGGCAAAAATATGACATAAAATCATAATAACAAATGTTTTTGTGTTACTTTACTTAATTTAACAAGTTAATCAGGTCTCAACTAAATTTGTTTAGCATACAAAACGTAATTAATGTAATGTCATTAGTCAATCTGACCAATTTAAGTTGAGATGACTAGAAAAGTAAGGGCATTCGCCACATAAAGCATATGCCAGAGTAATTGGTGGTTCATTCCGTAGTGGCAACACCTAATAAATTAAGGGCTAAGCTGAAGGAGAGTGACTAGAAATGTTCAATTGATTCAACTAAAGATTTAAGTGTATGTAGGCATTGCAATGCGCACTTTTGCATGCTGTTTTGAATGCGTTTTAGACTTTCTGATCCTAATCTCCCATGCAGTTTTGCATTACATTTTCATATGTAAATTTGTATACCAAAGGAAAAAAAAGAGTACTATTTCACTTTTGTTTCACAATTTTCACTCGAATGGATAAAAATGAGCACTCAATGTAGTTCACTGAGTATACTGATCTCAGATCTGCTTTCTGCTTTTTCCCCACTTGTCTGTGTTTGTGTGCGTGTTCAGATCCAGTCGTTGCAGGTGCAGCACTCTGAGCAGGAGCAGAGAATCAGTGACTATGAGGAGGAGTTGACCAGAGCCAGAGAAGAGCTGCTCCATCTGCAGGAGGAGACGCGTCAGCTGGGAGAGAAGGTTCAGTCTGCTCGAGCTCAACTCTGCCCTCTAGAGGATGCCGTCAAAGAATCCCACACGCAGATTGTTCAGGTTTGTCAGCTTTTGATCCGTTTCTTAGTTTTCGGTATTTGTTAACAGTAGCGGTTCTAGTTTAAATGGCACCCTGGGCGAACCTCCAGTTTTTAACTGGAAAACAATTTAGACACAACTGGAGTGATATACCAAGATAACTTAACGGTAAACTCTTTTAAAGGTAACTCTTTTGCATTTTTGTTGTCATTTTTTTTATTTGTGTTACATTTCTTGACACTGATTTAATTTATATATATATATATATATATATATATATATACATATATACATTTATTTATTTTACCCTCAGTTTAATGTGTATTTATTTTGTATATTATTATTATTATTAAAGATCTATTAAATAATAAAATTATGGATTATCATAGGAGGAAGAAAGTAGAAAACATTATTATTACACCATGGTCTTTGTTTTCAGTTTTCTATACTACTACTACTACTACTACTACTAATAATAATAATAATAATAATAATAGTGGTACCTGTTGTTATTTTTGTTATTAATATTATTATTGTTGTTGTTAATAATAATAATAATAATATAACACGATTATTAGAGAAACCCAAAAAAGAAATTCCAGTCCATGATGAAAATGTTTACTATTATTATAGTCAGACCTTGATGTCAGTCTAAAAATTTCTCTAATAATATTAATAATAATTGTGTTGTTGTTATTGTTATTATAAAAAAAACATGCCATCCTCCTATTTCTGCTTTTTAATTATTTGCAACTGGGTTTGGTCTGATTTTTATTCCCATTCCTAAAAGCACACACTACTTGTCTCGCTTTAATGTCTGTTTCACATAATATATTGCTTTTTGTTCCCTCATAGGAACAGGAGCGTTTGTCTGAGCTTAAAATGGAGGAGAGAGAGGTGACTGCACGGCTTACTTGGAAAATCCTGGAGGAGCCGGTACTAGTCAACGGAGCGGCGCCCTCCATTGAGCATCCAGAGCCATTGCAGTGGCCTCAACCTACAGCACAGCCACCAGAGACAACCAAAGAAGACAAAGTGCAGGATGAAGAGGAGCAGTCATCCACAGATGAGCCACAAGAGCTTAAGGTCACAGAGGAGGAGCCTGGGTCTGAGGCCGAGGAGCCGTCCAGCAGCCCAGAGCAACAGGAGAGCAAACCTGAACTCTACAGCTATGATCTTTACAACAGTGCCTTCTCCACCATCAGCTCCACCTCTGTCAACTGGCCTCAGGGGAACACGGTCAGAAACCGCTTCCTGTTATTGCATAATTAGTATGTCACTTGCGCATTACTTAACAAATAGGTTCTCATACATCGGTCTGTTTATGCCTCTCTTGTTATAGGAAAACACAACACAAGAGGCAGAGGTGGATGAGGAGAGGGAAAACACAGAAGAGCGTCCTGCCACCAGCACACCAAAGGTTGAATAATTACACAGGATCAGATATGTTGATTAGAATTGTTTATATTTTTATTGCAATTATTACTAGTATTTTAAATACATATAAATATAAATGTGTGTATATTTATTTATTTATTAGTTGTGCATTCATGTTTCATTATATACATACATTGGCACCAGTATTGGGTTTTATTCCTAATTACATGATTAAAATTTTATTAATTAATTTTCTAATTATTTTGTCTCAAAACTAATTTAAATACTCATTAAGTAGTTGAATTACTTGACTCGATGTTACATACAATTCCTATAAAATTCCTTACATAGGCATTAGAAATTGAACTCGAATTTGAATTTGTTTTATTTAAGTCAAACAATGTCTTTTTGCTTTATTGTCTTTTTTTTACTATTTATTTTTTGTGCAATTGTCAATGTGACCTTCTTTAGTTAAAAAAAGATCTAATTATTAAACAAAAAATACAGAACTGTTGTATTTACGTACAGTTATTAAGGAAAGTAATTGTAATGAAATTATCTAAAAATGAAAAGTAATTCAATTCAATTCATCTTTATCTCTATAGCGCTTTTACTATGTGGATTGTGTCAAAGCAGCTTCACATAGAAGATTATAGTAAATTAAAACAGTGTCAGTTCAGTTTTCAGTGTAGAAGTGCAGTTTAATTCAGTTCAGTGTTGTCTAATATTCACTGCTTAGTTCAAACACTGAAGAGCAAATCCATAATATCTTACTTTATTTTATTTTAGCAGATATGTATCACCAACTCTGATGGGTGTATTATTTTTAGATGATGTGATGGCCATATTGTCAGTAAATGTGTAGGTGGGAGTTTATAAACGTATGCTAATGGATTTTTGTCTTGTAGGCAGAGACTGTGGAGCCAGAGAAGAGAGAAACTGCTCAGCCAGACACAGAGCCACCCAGCAACCCACCTAGCGGCCCTGGCCTTGACTTCTTCCAGTCTGACCCTTTCACTGACAGTAAGATCTGCACTCCAAGTAGAAACATCAACAAAAACACAATCAGACGGTTCTGTATGGATGCATGATTTAGGGAAAAGTATTTTAAAATCTCAAATAAAAAAAAATTATATTTTAACATGCTGTTCTTGTTTGCAAGGCTGCAAACATTTGCTAAAAATGTTTGTATAAAATGTTCAATATGACTAATAATAAATTATGTATTAATAAAGGAAAACTTAACTTTTTTTAGTAAGTGGGCTCATTTTACAAGTCCCCTAGAGTTAAACAGTTGGGTTTTACCCATTTTTTCTATTCAGCCGATCTCCTGGAGCCTCATGTATAAAGACTTGCGTTGAAATCATTCTAAAACATTGCGTATGCACAAAGCTGTAAATGTGCGTACGATATTCTCTTTGTACATCCGAATTAGCGTAAAACTGAGCACATGTACACGAGCGCAAAACCCCTCCCTGCCTCCTCCCCCTAATAAATTTGGTAATGACTACTTTGGCAAAACCAAACAAAAAAGCAATGGCAAAAGCAAGCAAAAAGAGAAAGTTTGAACGGAATGTGAATTGGAGGTGCTGCTTTTGGAGGTAGACTGGAGAAAAACTGAGTAATTTGCAAGTTTGTCCTTCAGAATTAATAACAAAAGAAAAAAATAAAGCGGGAGAGTTTAGCTGATGCGGTTAACGCAGTGGGGTCTGAACACTGCACTGTGAGTGAATTAAAAAAGTAATGTTCTGATGTAAAGGTGTAAAATGTTGTAGTGTCTAAGTGCAAATAGCACACCTCATTGGAATGAGCTAGTTGAGTAATTCCCACCCATCACCGTTTGATTGACGGAGACAACATAACTAAAGAGAGCGGCAAACAGCAGCGTGAGTGGCACAGCTTGTAAAACGCATGGCAACATGTTTTGACACATTCGATCATGAACTCGGTTCGAATCCAGCGTCTGATGAATTCATTCTTTATTTTTCCCCCACTTCCTATCAGATTTTCCCTACACTTTATCACAATATTATTTTATTTTGTACAAATTAAAATCTTTAGAAAAATAGATTATCTAGATCAGGGGTGTCCAAACTCAGTCCTAGAGGGCGGGTGTCCTGGATAGTTTAGCTTCAACTTCCTTCAACACATCTCTCTGTAAGTTTCTAGTAAACCTTGAAAGAGCTTGATTAGCTGGTTCAGGTGTGTTTAATTGGGGTTGGAACTAAAATATGCAGGACACCGGCCCTCCAGGACAGAGTTTGGATATACCTGGTCTAGATTGTCATAATAAATGTACTGTGAGTTATTTTTTAATAATAGTAACAGTTAATTGACTTAGTAAATATATTTAAAACTATTTTTTGCAGGTGATCCATTCACTGAAGATCCTTTTGCAAAAGTTGACATTTCAGGTGCATATTTATGTATTTATTCATGTTAGAAGTGTTTGTAAAATATCTATTTGCAGATTTTACAACTGTTGTTTTGCTATCCAGATCCTTTCGGCGGGGATCCTTTTAAAGGCACAGACCCATTTGCAGCAGACAACTTTTTCAAGCAGTCTTCTGGCAGCTTCCCTTCAAGAGATCCTTTCAGCTCCTCTGACCCATTCAATACCACAGGCCCAAAAGAGCCTGATCTATTCACATCCAAGACCACCAATGCAGTCACTCCAGACCCATTTGCTTCTAGTAGTGGTAACCTCCAGGACACTGATCCATTTGGATCCAAAATGGACGCACTGGCAGACTCTGATCCGTTCAGTTCGTCTGGCACAGGACCCGACCCGTTTGGAGGCTCAGATGTGGTTGCGGTGAGTGCATTAATGCTTTATGCAGTATATAAAATGTGTTCTGTTTTGCAATCATCATAGATTGTGCCTCAACTGATTAGATGTAGGATCTGTAAGATTGTTTTTTTCTCTTTCTTTCAGAGAGATGGACCAGCATCAGCCAATGATCCTTTTGCTCCTGGAGGAACTACAGTTGTCGCCAACTCAGACCCAGATAAAACAGGTATTAGAGCTAGATTTACTATACTGATTTTGTTCACTTGATAATCCACTATTGATACTTATACCCCAGGATTCATATTTAAACAAATATAAATTAAAATAAAAATCTGTCATAAAAGCAATTTTATGACATTGAAATGTACATTACAATTTGCAACATGATCCAGTTTTTATATTAGATATATGTAAAAATATTAGCAGATGAATGTGATTGGCTGGACATTTGCTAATTTTAACTTTAAAGAACTGTAGTAATAACTCAACTGGTTGTGTTCTTTAAGCATATATTTAAAGCATTTATTATTTATTCATGTAAAAAAGACTGATGTTTTCGAATGTTTTCAGCTGCCTACGTGTGGTCAGTTCAGTTCATCAGCTATAAAAAACTGGCGTAACTTACTTTGTTTCAGACCCTTTTGCTGCAGTATTTGGCAATGAGACTTTTGGCGGAGGTTTTGCAGACTTCAGCAGCTTAGCAAAGGTAAGGATCTTGAACGTAAAACAGAAGTCCAGTATTTCAGCTGAGTTGCCAACCATATGATTTAAATGGACCCGACTGCAGCCACTGAACTTTTTATTTTGCCTTTCAGTCTAATGGCAATGATCCATTTGACTCCAGTACAAACAAGAATTTATTCAAGGAGGACACCCAGTCAGATGTACCGCCAGCATTACCACCCAAAACAGGAACCCCAACCAGACCTCCACCTCCACCCCCAGGTAAAATGGATTTTATCTATTGATGCACTGACCTTTATTTCATGGCTGATTCGGGTTGACCATTTCTTTCTTTTTTATCTTTTTTTTCTTTTGCAAACAAATTTTCTGATGCAAATTATTACATTATTCATTTTTATTACATTTTTTTTCCTCCAAATCCTCATTTTATTCCTTATATATAATATATATATATATTAGTTTTTTTGTAAATATATTTGTTTACTTTCAATTTATTGCATTGCAAGTAAAATTATACTATTTTACTTTAGCTTTGTGAAATGATTTTACTTAAAAACATAAATGTATAAGGAACAGTAGAAATGCATAATAACAGTAAATTCATTCTGCCTGTTGGTGGAATAGGTATTGCCCATAGTACATTAAAAATAGATGTTTACTATAGCCTTTTTAGAGGTATTTACAAATGAAAATAATAAACATCCTTATCATTGTTTTCAACATATCAAGCCTCAAATAATCACCTAAATATGAGTTGTGATAGAAACCGTCCAAACACGTCATATTAGTACAGCATTTAATTAAATGTTAAAAACATCACACAGTCATTTAAGTATTGCAGTATCAAGTATTGCAAAGAAAATATTTGTTCAGTTTGTTAATGTTAATGTGCTTGGCTTGTAACATTAAAATCATTGCAGTGCCGATTTTATGCAAGTCATAACAGAGACTGGCTTATTTAAAGCGCAAATCAGCAGGTTGTCGATCAAAAGTTTCTAAAAAAAACTAAAAACAAATACAAAAAAAACCCAATTCCTTCATTTGATTTTTTGCCAGTTGATTGGTGCATGTCTAATCTGAACAAACCAGATTCCAGATTGACTTAATTGCTCAGTTCAGAAAATAATGGACCACAAGGCTCCATAACGTCACCTGTATTTGAGTGCTGTGTTGTCTCTATGTGTATGTGTTAAAGGTAAGCGGTCCAACATCCACCGATCGGAGTCGTCCGAGTCATTTCACCGCCGCGGTCTGTTCAAGGCCCAGGGATCAGCAGAGTTCTCCTCCCTTCCCGCTAAAGACTCGGTACCAGACCCCTTCGCCCCTTCCTCACCCCACCAAGCCCCGTGCGACCCCAACCGATTCGCCAGCTTTGACAAAGTGAGCTCCTCCCCCTCTCCCTCTCCTGACCCCCAGTAGTGACCCTGACATTTCACCTGCGCAATGCAGCAGCCTTGACCTCTCGACCCCTCATAGCCCGTTTGTTTTCCCGGAAGGCTCCTCGTCCAATATTTTGACGACTCTTGCTTTATGTGAAAGCCACAAAACTGTCACTGTTCCTGTTTTTTATTTTATTTTTTGTAAATACATATGAGCTTGTAATGAAAATATTTATCCAATAGCGAAACTGAATCAAGGCTAACGCTTCTACTAAAACAAAACCCCAGTGTTATTTAAACCTACTATTGTTATGACTTCGCAGTATTCCTAACATCACGCATATAAGTTCTCACTGGCTGTGGAAGGAGAGGTGGGGCTGCTTGCTATTGGCTGTTTTCAATTCATCCCCCTGTGCTCTTTTGTCATGTTCTCCACCATTGGTTGAGGCTTGCACGTTTATTGCCCTGTCGTACTTTTATTCACTGATTTGCCTTGCCTTGCACTGCACGAACTAATCACTGTGTCCACTTGTTCTGTTGGGCTGCTACTTCCCACACATTGGTTCTTGGTTCCATCTGCATCCCATCATTCATGCACCACCTTTTTTTATTTTTAGAAGACATACAGTATGTTTTGTTTTTATATATGCCAAATTCAATAATCAGCTAAGCTTATAACAGCACTTGTTGGCTCCTTTCTGTATTATTATTATTATTTTTTAAATTAAAACTTATCCATGTGAGCTCTCTTTATACGTTGATGCATCCAATAAATTAAGCCTTATGAAGGCGCAACTCTTTGCTAATGAAGAGACTTCAAGAGAGAGATGACTTCTTTTTGTTTTCATGATTTGTGTTGAAGTGCTTTCCAGCTAACTGTAGTGATTACTCTCTCGATCCATTGTTGTCTACACCTTTACTTCTGTGTGAAATACCTGCATGTTCATGATGGGCCGTATGAGCAATCCAGGCCTAGACATATGAGTGCATCAGACGAATAAAACATCAGACTAAAACATCAGCAATGAAATGAGTAATCATTAAGCATATTTCTTAAATTGGTGTTAAATTACTTTTTATTTTACGTCAAGTCTCATGTGTCTGCAGGCTTATGAGCTGATGTTAGCTGTGAAGCTCTATGGATTGCATCATGGCACACATCTTGTATCTCTCATCCTTCTGTGTCAGTAGCTGTAGCACATTAGTAATTTTTCCTTTTATGTTTCTAAATGTAACAGTTCTTGCATGTTGATCTTTGTGGGATTTTTTGTATGTCATCATTATACTTGAGACAGGTTTTTTTGAACGCTCAGTTCTACAGTAGATAATTCTCTTTTAAGTTATATTTTTTCGGTAGTCTACAGAACAAACCACCGGTATACAGTAACTTGCCTAATTACACTAACCTGCCTATTAAAACTAATTAAGCCTTTAAATGTCACTTTAAGCTGTATAGAAGTGTCTTGAAAAATATCTAGTAAAGTATTATTTACTGTCATCATGACAAAGATAAAATAAATCAGTTATTAGGGTTGTTATTACTTCAATTTCAACTGGATTTTATATACATATACAGTTGAAGTTAGAATTATTAGCCCCCCTGTTTATTTTTCCCCCAATTTCTGTTTAACGGAGGGAAGATTTTTTTCAACACAGTTCTATCATAATAGTTTTAATAATTCATTTCTAATAACTGATTTATTTTATCTTTGCCCTGATGACAGTAAATAATATTTGACTAGATACTCTTCAAGAAATTTCTATACAACTCAAAGTGACATTTAAAAGCTTAACTAGGTTAATTAGGTTTACTAGGCAGCTTAGGGTAATTAGGCAAGTTATTATATGATGATGATTTGTTCTGTAGACTATCGAAACAAAATATATCTTAAAGGCGCTAATAATTTTTACCTTAAAAATGGTTTTCAAAATATTTAAATATGCTTTTATTCTAGCCAAAATAAAACAAATAAGACTTTCTCAAGAAGAAAAAATATTATCAGACATACCGTGAAAATTTCTATCCTCTGTTAAACATCATTTGGGAAATATTTTCAAAAGAAAAAAAAAGTCAAAGGGGGGCTAATAATTCTGACTTTAACTGTATATACATACACACACATGTATGTATGTATGTATATATGGTTATATATTCCCTTTAAAATGCACTTTAAGATGAATACAAGCATAAAATAGCTAGAAAAATACTAAGTTATGCCATCAAAGCAAAGACAAAAGTTAGTTATTAAAAGTTAGTTATTAAATGGTTTTGTATTTAAAAGGTTAGAAAAATCATTCCAGTATAAATTACTTGGTAGAGTTTTTTATTATAATAAAATATAATATTTTTAATAACTAATAATTCAACTGTCTTCAACTGTATATAACAAAAAAAGAAATAAAAAGAAAACCATATTTTGGTTAAAATATAGTTACATATTATTTAAAAATAGATTTAGGTATAGTTTTAATGATAAAACAAAAAAAGTACAAAATTCCTCCTTTGAATTAGGGTTGCACGATATTGGAAAACTGATATTGTGATATTTTGTTTTTCTACAATTAATATTGCGACACGAGTACAGTTTCACAAGATAGTTTGAATAGCTTTATTTGATGGTTTTCTGGAGAGTCAAACATATTCAGGTACAGAAATTGAATAATCACAATGCAAAAAAATGTTTTTCTTACTTTGCTTTGTCTCGTTTCTAGTCCAAATATCTAAAACATTTAGATCAAGTAAAAATATTGTTTTGCTTTCACCTTTAGAAGAAATAAGTCAAAATTAAGAGTTTTTCCTCTTTCATTATCTGCCAATGGGGTAAATTAATCTTATTTTTGCTTTAAAATGTAGATATTTGGACTAGAAACAGGACAAAAATTCTAAGTAAGATTTTTTTATATAATTCATAGAAATACAGTTATCAAATAAAATTCTGTAGCTCTTTTTCAAATGTAATTCAGACTCAACATTGCAGATCTTGCAGTGTGTAAATTGCGAATGTGCACTCTGCGATATCGATGCTGAAACAAAATATTGTTCAGCTCTAATTTGAATATATTAACATTTTTTTATTTAAGTGACTACATTTGTGTGAGTGAACTGTAAATTTAAACACCAGAATTCTCATTTGTATTGTTAATGAAACCGAACGCTATGCATAATTGTAGCATCTCACTCTCACCACACTGTATATTTGAATGTATTACATTATACATGGATGTGTCTAGTATTTGCATGACCCCTCTTCAGTAATAACTGTTACTTCAGACAGGTGTTAATTTGCCAGGCTGTCTGATGGGGTTATGGTGTGTGTGTATGTGTCTGTGTGTTTGTGTGTGTGGAGCAGTATCCCACCGAGGAGGACATGATAGAGTGGGCCAAGCGGGAGAGTGAGAGAGAAGAGCGGGAGCGCGTGGCCCGTCTCACCCAGCAGGAGCAGGAGGATCTGGAGCTGGCCATCGCCCTGAGTAAATCTGAGCTCTCCTGACCCAAGCGGGACACCACTCCCAAGACCTGAGCCACGTCAACACGGAGGAAAGAGCTGGAACAACCACCAATAGCACAGTCCTTATACTTTCATCTCCAGCTACGTGAATAATCATCCCTCCGAGTTCTTCAGTTTTCCGGATATGGGCTGGATGAAAGTATGAAGGTCAAGTCGAGACGGAGAAAAAAGGTAACAGACTCACTTTAGCCTATGGCTTGAATACGTTGGTGTGACTCCTATGTTTTTAAATAAGACGCCTCAGATCA